GCTCAGTGATGCAAATTATATGCTCACATGTTTTCAACAATAACAGCTCATTGAAGCATACTTAAAACTTTTAATACTGTTATGCCAACTTTGTCAGTAGACTCGTTCCAGTCAATCGCTGGTGCACCACAGGAGTGCCATTGCAACAAACTTTGGTGTCTTTGTGCGCTTGGACGAGTCGTTTTTGTTTAAAACATACGACCATGCAATTCACACTGTGAAGTCCATTGATCTTTTTCATTATACTGTAAGGTTTTATCAGATTACAGATAACCATGTACAGCCTTATTTGAACCAATCAGATCACAGATAGCTATGGATAGCCTTAAGTGAACCAATCAGATTACAGATAACCATAAATAACCTTCTGTGAGCCAATTAGATTACAGATAACCATGTACAGCCTTCTTTGAACCAATCAGATTACAGATAGCTATGGATAGCCTTCTGTGAACCAATCAGATTAAAGATAACCATGTACAGCCTTCTTTGAACCAATCAGATTACAGATAGCTATGGATATCCTTCTGTAAACCAATAAGATTACAGATAATCATGAATAGCCTTCTGTGAACCAATCAGATAACAGATAATCCTAAGTCATTTATGTATTATACCCTGAATCTCAATAGGATAGCTACGACTATACCAAACAATGAAATCTTAATCTTAAAAAATGTTCAACTGCATTTGAATGTCAGATTGGCTGATGAAACAACCTTTTTGGGTTGAGTTGACCAAGCGGTCTAGAGCACTGAATATGCTATGCAAGCACTGTCTCCATAACCACGAGGTTGAGAGTTTGAGACGAGTGAGCTTCTTGCGTTTCTTCAATAGTGAATCTGAAGTAAATGGAGCCTATATAAAATTGACCTGTTGACCACCCCACTCTGCAATTAATTAGACTGAGTGACAACATACTTAAATGAGATGGCCATGAAAGGAATCCTGGGTATTTGGGAAGGAGGTAGAATGAGTTAAAAATGGTTTTAAACTGACTATGGACATACTTGAACTCTGTGAAGAATTTCGATGAACAATCATGAGGTTATTCTATGTTTGGGATGCTGAACATAGAATACAGAGTTACCTTCAGATAACTCTCAGATGTTTATGATAATAAAATTATATGTCAGATAATCACATTTCAAGAATATTCCATCATTAACTTGAGGACAAAGACTCAAAAACAGCCTGATAAGCACCATGTCAATACTAAGCTCGATTCACTTTAAACAAACAGACAAAGATACATTACTAAAAGATATGAATTCAATTACATCAATAATACAGTGAAAATACAATTATTGATCTGATCACGGATCCATATGAGCGAGGGCATAATTCAGAATTCAAAGATGAATATCCGTGTAAAATGACCAATTTTCACTGTAGCAATATTTTCTGAGTACCAGGGACATAATTTGAGTCCCGTCTAATTTTTCTTTCAATTTTTTTTATTTCATGCATTTGCAAATGTACTTTAATGTAAGCATTCTTTATAAATTCTGGGTTATTTTCTACTCAAGATGCATATCAATGAGTCAAGGGATTTAATGATACAGTACACAGATCAATCGATTGATCATTAGTTACACATTAAGAATAATCAAGATTCCCACTAAACAAAAATGACCAGCTCATAACTCACTCAATACAGAATTGCCTACTATCAAATGGATTCATTGCCGTTCATGAAATATACTAAAACTGAACAAAACAATTCTGATTAACCTGTTAATGAATAGAGTACAAATTGAAATATAATATCTTATATAGCTGTCACACTTAAGCCATGTGGGTTCACCTTTCGCCCCCATGTGATGTAAATACTTTAGAGCAGATCTCATTTTTGGGGTAGAAAACTAGAAAACTCTACAGAGTAGCATGTTCCACTGAGCAAAAAATGTTTTGATAAATAGTGGCCATGTTCCTGAAAGTCTTCTTGAACTACCCTCCCTTGTCCCTATAAGGTATCAGCATGTAAAATTTGAACCAAATCTGTCAACTGGTATTTGAGTTATCGCCTGGACACATGATTGGACAAACGAACGAACGGACAGATGAATGGATGAATGGCTTTCCTATATCCCCTCCAACTTCGTTCGGTGGGATAACTAAGACAAGCAGCTACTAGAGTAGCTACATAGTCAATTACCCTAAGATATCAATTTGGTTAATGCAATCTCCAGTGTTACCTTTCTCGAGCGATATCAAATGTCCGTGTTGCATATGGTATTGTGATATTATTATCTTTTAACAATTTAATTGTAAAACACCCAGATGGGAGTAGGTAGTTATCATTTTCACCACCAGGTGGCTAATTCAGGGTAGATAACATGGCAGGGTATAAGAAAGTTCCCTTAAACTTGAATATTCATCAGTTTTAGTGATTTGACTTTCATTTTACCTTTATGTATCTGATAGTTAGTACTATACAAATTAAAATATGTCAAATAAAAGAAAATATCTGTCTGATATAAGAAAACGTATTTCACTTTTTGTCTATGGGGAGTCTCCCCGACCTAGAAGTCACATTTTCAAAGAAAATTAAATTTTCAAAGTTGTTAAACACTTTTTAAACCCACATTTCTAGATGTCATTTTACATGTAGATTTTAAATATGATAACACTTTGACTGAATTTTGAATTTCTAATGACGGAAATCAAGATTACTTCTACTCACATCTAGTCTATTAAGTGGAAAGAAATAAAATGAGAAAGAAGTATAGAGAGAGAACATGTCATACTATGCTTAAAACAGATTTCTTCCAAGTGTTAACAACAGAATTATCTTTTTCAGATCGCAAGAATATCATTATTTATGAATATATTCTATTATGTTCTAAGCAGTTTTGCAGCTGCAGAAATAAATCCTTGCTTTAAGTCAGCAAAATTATTTATAACAAAATTGCTAATTTGTTCACAGTCAACATTTCCTTTTGAGCTATTACATCTATCGTGCATAGGATTTAGTAATCTGTTGTATCCAGTGATCCATTGTATGTCAGCACTATCTAATCTTGTTATTCTTCCGCAATGTGGAAGACGTTAATATCCATTAGATGTTAGATATTGATGTCTTCTTATGCTCCATAAAATAAGGACCTCCATTAGGTTCCCTATTACTGTATTTTATCTCCAGTACTCTTCAATCTTAGACAGTTTAATGACAAAGTACCTGTTTCATTTCACAACATACGTCACAACATTTTTTTAATTGGTTATAAAGCTTCCGATGCAAGTTTTTACACAGATAGTAATTTTCACTTACTGTTAAGTAATTGAATATCTGAGTGTTATCATGATTCTACAATATTGTGACTGTAGTCATCTGCGAAAGATCAAAAACTCAAAGATAGTGTGAGGTCAGAGACACTGGCTTGCAACACTGTTATACTGTAAAACATGCCCTCTGGGTGTCTGGGACATTGTAAAGTAACCATATATTTTGTACAAAATAGAGAAATATTCATAGTAGTCATTCAAGGAATCAGAAGTCAACGACTTGAAAGTCGGAACCATTAGTTCAATGTTCTGGATGATATTTCAATTTTATTCAGCACATTGTCGCCCTGTTAAGCTCAATCATTATAACAACATCGAAACCATTAGATTGTGAAGTTTAATGAAACTTTATTAAGTCTTGTAATTGATATGAGATTGGTGAGATTATTAGCTTCACTTGCCTTTCACAAATGACTCTGTTGCTTCTAATCGATGTATATGTTACCTGATGTTGAATCAAATGGCAGCATATTGCGCCTGTATAAATCAATGGGCTTCAAGCTAGAAATAAACCATTAAATTCACTCATATCTCGTTTGAAAATTGACCTCCTGAGTACAGAGTAACCAAAACATTTATTTCATTTCTTTATTGTCTCATATTATTGTATTTGTATATTGTATTTATATTATATTATTGTATTGACCTATGTACCACTTTAAATGTTCACAGTTTATCATGTTTATTGTAAATTTAATTATGGGCAGTCATACACCCCCTGGGGTGTCATAGCCTGTATAATGTTGTAATTTTTGTAATGAAAACTGAAATAAATTATTTTGAAATTGAATTGAATTGAAATCCATGATAAATCCATGCCAAAGTAGATGTAATATTCAGTTAAGGCAATAAAAATTGAAGATCGCTAATTTGATATTCTATCTGGAAATTGATAAGTGAGAGTTAAACTCGTTGCAGTCTATTTAACACTGCATCTGTATGAAATGGATGAATCATTTTTTCAAATTTTCATAGGAATACTTCAGTTGCAAAAATCGTTTCTCCAATGGGATCTACTTATGGATATGATCATAGCTTTTCATTTTGTTGATGAACAATGACCATATTTTAAGCTAGAATGTTTCCACAGACTGACTGTCACAGTCTGCTAATCGCATTCTGCAAATGATCAAGGTAAGGTTCCAAGCCATTATCAGCCTTTTAAATACAAATGCGATACACTACTTTTAAAAATCAGTGTACAGATGAGTCAGAATTGTATGACAGCCTCTATTGAACACAATTACTTTTCAATATCAGTGGATCTTCGTTTAATGTCTCATTAATGCCACTGTCAATAATGAAATGGTTTCTAGCTTTAATTCCTGACATCTATTTATTCAACTGGAAACCACACTACTAAGCTCCATATGGGAAATGGTTGCAATCTGTCACACATGTAAACAATCATCACTCTACTATACCTAACCCCTAGAAATGCATAAGATACTCTGTTTGTCCAATTGTATTGTTTAGTATATATTTGAAAGTACCTTATTAACATCTAACATCATCCGATGAGCCATTAATAAGGAACAGAAAAATAAAAACAAATCACATAATCATTACTAATAAGCCAAATGGGTTGCTCATGAACATCAAATGCAAGGTATAGTAGAGTGAATCATATAAGATATTCAAGAAACCACACATCAGGACAATATAACTCATTACAGACACGACCGATGTGATGGAATTGAACATTTTACGATTTACTGTGTCAGATATGTGATGCGGCAAATATCTCCATCATGAGACCCAACGATCAAATTTCCTTTCTTATCAATAGCAACACACATGGGGCCCTTGAATTTATCAGCAGACGTTAGAACAAATCGAATGAAATTCCCCTTGGGATCCAGCAGATGAACTCGATCATTACCATTATCAGCTATAATGATATTATCCAGTGGATCAACACAAACACCTGCTGGTCCTTTCAACTGACCTTGACCTTGACCCTTGCCCCCATAGATGAACTTTGTCTCACCTTTTTTCCCCACACCTTTTACACAATTTTTATAATCATCAGAGATGATGACCATGCCTTCACTGTTGATGGCTACATACCATGGCCAAGAGCAATTGAGAATACCAGGGGAGATGGAGGAAACAACGGATCCATAAGAGGAATCTATGTGACTCACTGACTTAGAGCCGGTATCAGTAACCATAATTTCCCCTGCTGAGCCTTCACAAATTCCCCATGGATCTTTAAACATATTAATAGCAATGTTTCTTTGATGCTCGAGATTTGCATCATACACTGCAATGCATTTGTTAGCATGGTCTGTAAGTGCGTAACATCCAGTGTTTAGTGTACAAAGACCATGGAATAATCCATATACAGTTTTCTTTACAGTAATAGTGTCTAAATCATATGTTGCCATTTGATACTGTGCACTATTAGAGCTGTCAATGTTAAGCACAGCAAGATCACCTTTGCCTCCTATAGAGATATCGATCAGTGCTTTGTAACCAGGTTTCTTATCATATAAAGGCCCTATCCTGTGTATACATGGCTCACATAGCCTCTGTGACCCCTGTAAAGTCCTTGAGATAACCTGAGCTAGCTTTGTCATATCCAGGACGCCTGGTTGAAATGTGCTGATGTTCAGTGGTTCTGAGCTTAATCGAGGCAGGACATGTCTCCATTCTTCAAGTGTTCTCTTAATTTCATTACTAGATTTTACAATCTGGACAGGGTGATGTTTGGCTTTGGCGGTTGTTAACTGATTCAATACACTCTCACTATTGAACTTCTCAAGTCTTACCATCTTTTGGTGGATTTGAATCTTCGCAATAGCTGCATCATGACTTCCATTTCCTTCATGTTCAATCTTATTAAAATGAGCATCAAGTGTTTCGTGCATCGATTTACGTTCCTCATTTACTTTGATGAGAAAATCATCCTTACTTTGAATGACTGTGCTTATATCATCCATAGAGTTATCAATTTCTTTGTCACAGTCTCCAATTCTTTTTTTAATGATTGTAACCAGTTTATCTTCTTGTTTGAGGGCATCAGATGCAACATCTTCAATGTCAATGTAATGGTGCTTGGTATGGTTACTTCTACAGCAGAAGTCACAAATAAGAGCTTCATCATCAAGACAATAGTGTGACAAGACTTTACCTGGATGTAATTCACACACGATGTCTTTCTTGAGTTGTATTTCTTTTACCATTGCATCATCTTTCTGTGCATCACCATTCAACTCAAGAAACTTGTGATGTCTCGATACTTTGGAAAGACAGTGTGCTCGTTTGCAAGTGTTACAGAAATGTCCCATACATTGAGTACACCATCCTACTGCAATGATACGCTCACCCTCTTGTCTGCAAATATCACAAACGATTGGTGGATTTGCATTCTGAAGTCTTCCTGGGCGTGGCGAAGGCACTGGAGGCTTAAACTGCCCATGTTTTCTCACATCATCATTGCATGATTCGGGGCTGGTTGTTGTCACCCTTTTCATGCTCACATAAGGAGATTCCTTCTTCATGCTCATGTAAGGAGATTCCTCGTTTGAGTCTCTATTGGAATCCATTTTATTAACTTTTGTTAAACAGTACCATGTACTATCAGAAAAGTCTTTGCAATTGAACTAGTCTCAACTAAGACATAAATATGTATTTATACAGTTTATCTTTTCTTTCGGTTACAAAAATCATTTGTTGTCAAAGTTCACCCTCTTATCAAGTTATCCATTCTATTGAAAACTTGTGACATGCGATTCAACGAACTACATAAATGTATGATGATTAATTTAAAAAGGATTACTTTAAATAGAAGTAAGGAATGTTGACACAAAGTGAAAGTAACACATGAGTACTGTAGAAGGGTTTTCAATAATCAAGACATTAAAGCCTTTTCATGAAGGTAAATTGAAATGTATTATCACTTAATACTGAACTTAAAAATGTTTGCTCTACCATTTGAACAATGTCAATGTTCAAAGTAAACAATAAATCACACATTTCTTAAAACGCTAGATTACGAAGAAACCTTGAATAGGTGTGTGTAGAAAGTCTACAATGGACTCATGCAATAAATTACATCACGCACACCTTGTAAGTTATTGTAAACTGTTACAGACTCCAAACTCTGATTGCTAACCACCAACCGCTGAATGCTGTCACAATAGTTGGAGACCATAACAATATGTCACCTCTTTTGGTGGTGACATAACAATATGTCACCACTTTTGATGGTGACATAATAAGCAAAATAATAAAACATTCTCACATTATGAAATGTTCAACAAGTTGTACGTGTCTTTTATGTGAACTCTTATACTAATGTTACTTATAAACCTACACACATGACACTGACCTTGCATGACCTCACTAATGACCCAGGGGGAGATTTCCCAAGGATGACCTTTCGTATTGGCACATTTGAAAACAAATTATATTAACAGGCCTCATTTGCCATTGAAATGGATCTCCAAATGTTCGCTGTAGTTTTATGAGTATTCTCTACAAGTATGGATCGAGTAACTTCAATAGTATTAACGTAGGTTTGAAATGATGATGTTGAACCAATGTTAACGCCATTCCCGTGATTTCAAATTTAACTTTGTCATGTGCAGCACTGAGAGAGCAAGTGCTCATGATTGTTCACGTGATCACATCCTGCAATTTGATGGGAGATGATGCGGGAGATGACGTAATGGGGAATCCCCGAATACGATAGAATATGAAAGAATTGTGGGAGCTACTCACTTCTCCTGCTAATGACCAAAATCTTCAAACACACTTTTGAAGAGCGCCATTAAAAAACTTTTAAATTATCAGTATCTTCTTATCACAAATGACATGTACACATTATACGCAATGAACAAAATGTATCAAACTTGATATCAAAATAAATGTTATCAATAGATTGTTATTTCTGTACCTGAAAAATAAAACTAATAGCAAAAGTCATACATAAATTATTATTTTTTAGAAAGTTCTGTTTTTGCTTCACACTATATACCGCTATCCTATTTGAAAACCTTTCTGAAAGAATCACATTTACAATGTATTTTTATCCTATGTTCTATTTTTAGAGGGTCCATTAATTGGCTTCTGCTTTATCTGAACCACTTCTTTTGAATATTTCTCAACTTTGAATTGTTGCAGCAGTATTGACTTCTAAGACAGGATTTCTATCCTTGTTTACCATTGTTATGGTAACAAAATAACTAAATTTTCACAAACAAACAAATCGATTCATTATTTCACTCACACATAAGAAGCATCATCCTGTCGTCATCTAGGAACTGAAAAAACAAAGTAAAAGCGAAATTCTCTTACCTATTTTGGCATTATATGGTCATCTGCTCCTTCCATCAATGGGCTAAAAGTTATAAAGATAAGGTCTGAAATCTAAACAAGGAAAACACACAATTCCACTTACCTTTTGTGACTTTCTGTTGGTCACTATCATCTGTTGCTGTGAATGCTGCCGTATGATGAAGGAGCCTCTCTCCTATGAGGGAGGGGTTGTCACCCAATTGCAGCAATTCAGGCTCAATATGGGCAATCTCATGCGTGGCGTTTATATTCACCCAGGATTGTAGTACATCTAGAATGTAATGTTTATTGGTGATTACTCTTCTAAATGTTAAATGATGGGTATCATTTCATTTAATTGTGAAGTTGAATAAAATAAATAAAGATTAAAACAGGTAGATATATTAAGACTGATTCTTTTGTATATAATATGATTCATTGCCGATACATCGCTCCTCTATATCATCTCCTTCACCATCCCCTCAATCCCCAAATCACCTAGTCATGAATCCCCATATAATGTATCCCGGCTTATACAAACAAAAAAATCACAAAGACTCACCTGTATCATCCCAATCTAAGGAATGCTTTAGAGAGGACAGGATAAGATCACATATAAAATCAAGCACCTGAAACATAGAAGTATTATATTGGTAATTTCTAGCAACAAACAGGTAAATAAAATATAGAATAAATCAAAAATAGAAACAGGTGAAATATAGAAACAAACAGGTGAAATATAGACACAAACAGGTGAAATATAGAAACAAACAGGTGAAATATAGACACAAACAGGTGAAATATAGACACAAACAGGTGAAATATAGACACAAACAGGTGAAATATAGAAACAAACAGGTGAAATATAGACACAAACAGGTGAAATATAGACACAAACAGGTGAAATATAGACATAAACAGGTGAAATATAGACACAAACAGGTGAAATATAGACAAAAACAGGTGAAATATAGAAACAAACAGGTGAAATATAGAAAAAACAGATGAAATATAGAAACAAACAGATAAAACACAGGCCAAATCTACCCAAAAAAGGTAAGACAGGCGAAATATGGAAACAAACAGATATAAAAACACATTTGAATGTAAACTAACAAACAGGAAAACATACAGGTATTGGAACATACAGGTAAGGCAGAGATTCATGTATAATTGTTTGAATTTTTACTGATTGGTCCATGTACTAGAAGTTCTTCAAAGATTTGAGTGAATTTCGGGGAATATTTTGAAAGTGAAAATCTGTATTTCATGAGGTCCTGATTTTTACACTGGACAATCATATCACCAGAAATTCCACAATCATCGAATAATGTGCTATTTGAAGTATATATAGGGTGTCTCAAAAAAATGTACCCAAAAGTATGTCAACAGCATAGACAAACCAATCAATATTATCAGACATTTTTTGCATGGTCTTGAAGATAAAATATGAAAGTTTTTTTCTCATATTCACAGTTTTCAATTCAGTTTTGCCTTTTTGATACTTTAACCCGTTACCTTTTACACCACATATTCAATGTAACCTCATATTTCGATGACAGTCAGCATCCTTACTACTACATTGTTCATCACATTTGATATTTCTGGTGGAATGTTTTGGTTTCTGTTCGGATTCTGGTCTTAAGTTGTTCTAGGTCTCTTAGCTTGGGTTTAGCATAAAAATGTTCCTTCAAATAACCTCAGAAAAAAGTATGGGCCATCAAATATGGTGAATAGGGAGGCCCTCACAATGTCTTATAGCCACCTTATACAGAGAGGTCAGAGGTTCAAGAAATTGCATTGGTGGGGATTCTAATGTAGCCTTTGTTGTGTGTATCAATTTGAGACCACTGTGTTTTCATTTGGATATCATTTAGTCCCCAGGCTAGCCTGCCTAACTCTGGAAGGTAACTCCTGAATTATTTGCCGATAATTGACCTGATTATCTGTGTTTGTTCTGCCATCGTCATCCTCAAACATCTTTCTCTGTGGCTATTTGAAGGAGTGTTTTAATGCTCATTCCAAGCAAAAAGACCTAGAACAACTGAAGGGCAACATCCAAAGAGAAATCCAAAACATTCCACTGGAATTATTATCAAATGTGATGAACAATGAAGCAGTACGGATACAGGCTGTCCTCGAGTTACATCGATTATGTGGTGTAAAAGATAAAGGGTTAAAGCATCAAAAAGACAAGACTGAAATAAAAATGGTGTATTTGGGAGAAAACTTTCATGTTTTGGCTACATGACCATGCAAACAATGTCTGAAAATATTGATTGGTTTATCTGTGCTCTTGATATACTTTTGGGTACATTTTGAGACACCCTGTACCTCCACACATTTGGTACAGTTGTAATGAGTGATAATCCACAGAGTCCAATTGTATTACATGATCTTATATTAAGAGCTGAGAACAATTTCAATGTTTGTGAACTGGCTATACTTTGGTACCTTATCTTGAGAGACACCATTGAAGGTGACATAGTCCTTAGCCAGTGTGTATCTATTGGCTTCCCTGCAGCTAAGGAGACTGTTCAACACATCAAAGTGCTCCTGTCTCCTCACATTATCATAGCTACAGCTAAGAGCCTGAAATGTCATCATAATGCGGAGGGTCAAAATAATTACTATAATTCTAGCATTTTTAAATATATTGTCAAATATTTCATTCACATGTTATTACAATGAACATTTTCAGAATATTTTCGTACATAGTACTTAAAATATCAAATGTTATCTCATAATATCATTTGAAGGAAGAATAAATGTGCTATTATTTGCAGCTCAGTAATATTGAGTGACATAAAACATCTACAGTATTCCCAAGAAAAAGAGCAATTGCACAATGATGGTTTTGTTAAAATCTGCCTACGAAAAACACCTATGAATACGAAATTAGCTAAATTACAAAAAATCTTTAAAAAAGTAATATCAGATTTTGAGGTGCTTAAACACTTTTGTGAATTAAGACCTTACCATAGCAATTTTGTGAGCATTGATTATTCTATTGCAGCATTTCAACCCATTTACACAGTGCAAACTAAGTGTCTCCATGGTAACAAGAATGTTGTCAGTTTCCATGGCGATGAAGTCTTCAGCAGCTGACACAGTGCTAGAAAGACTGGTGGCTGAAATAAACAAGTCTTAGATGTATGTACATATTAGGATTGCATGACTGACAGACATAACTTAAGCCCCTCCCATAGGAGGAGGGGAAGCGAGGAAGGGGAGGGGCACCAAACAGACAATGTCAATGTTAAAGCCTACCCTACAAATAGTGATAAATATATAGACATTTATCTCTGTTGATTTCAATATCATTTTATCGTAATTTACACTGTGTACTGTACAAACTTACTGCTCAGTGTTCTAGAAAGCCCTAATGAAGCTCTAAGCTTGGAGCCACGTCTATGGGAAGGTGGAGAGGTTTGCAACAATGTCTTCATGTCATTAGACAGCCTTTCCAGACTAATACTCTGGTCAACAAGTCCAATACATGTCTGAAATAGAAGTATGGCTTAAATTAAGACTTGACTGTCTGCAATTTCTAAAAAGGTTGTCTCTTGGCAAAGACTGGTAGATGTTCATTTAGGTTACACCTATACAAAAAATCACTGTTAGGGGTAGCCAGATCCATGGAGTCAACATTGAATCTTTATTAATGTTGCTTAGTCCAAGTGATAAACTTGAATTATTGAGTACTATGGCTCAATCCTGGCTATAAACATTGAATTCATGAGTATTATGGCTTATACATTGTACTTACAAGTATTATGGCTAGATCCTGGCTATAAACATTGAACTGTCTGGATACTGCACATGCCTCTCCAATCTGACCATTTCCCAGCAACTGGCCAATCACTAACTGTACCATGTCAGCATCCTAGTTATGAGTAAAGTTTTTATGATTAAGACTTTAATTATTTAAACATTCATGCAGACTTTTGGAGAATTACTGAATTTTTTCCTTTTCAAAATTTAAGTATTTTTGACTTAATGTTGTACATTTTCTGAGCAGCTACAGTGACTGGCAATTACCTCAACAACGGGACTACTTTCATCCATAGATGCCTGCTGTAATTTAGAATACTGCTCCTCATCTGGTAACATATTCCTACCCACTGGAACTACTTTGTTCAATGCTTCTTTAACGTCTCCCTTATTGGGGCGACCCTGTCAAATGAATAACATAACATGCATAAGTTCCCTTTTATCCAGGCAGCCAATAATAATAAGATTCAGAGCCAATTTTTAATTTCTTTAGGAATTTCTAGAACTGCCATTAATGGAATGCCCTACATTATTTATTTTTTGAATGGCATGAATAAATGTCATATGGGTCCAATCCATTTTTTTTAAATCAAACCAAGTACAGTAAAGGTACCTGAAGCTTTTTCCGCAGTGCCTCAAATCTACATTCCCATATAGCAACCCACAACACCTGTCCACCATGTTCTGATTGGTCATCTTGAGTTTGTGCTTGTTCTACACTAGTGCCATCTATTTGATGGGATAGACACTCCAGAGATAACTGTAGCAGATACGCCTTCTCTAAACCTGCAGATTTGGCACTAAGGTCCTACAATGCAATTTGAAACAGCTAGAAATACACATGCACTTTTATTTTAATAATAAATTAATTATATTTAATTCAATTATACTTGCTCATTCATTATTTCATTATATAATTCACCACATACACATAATAGTATGAAAAGTACATCATTAGGATAAATTAATTGTTATATAATTCCTGGACACAAATACACATGTGCAATCCGCATGTCTCTTACAATTACTTCATTTTAAATGGAGACTTATAATGATATGAATAGCAGGATGAAACCTCTTCATGCTAAGCTTGTCAGGGATTTCATTCCAAATATTCTCAAGGTAATAATGCTACGTTATGTTTATTCTATTCTATTGCTCATATGTAAAATTATTGTTTGTATCACAAAATAACCTAATATGAAAGATAATATAGGAATATCCTATGGTTTTGAAAAAATATCATTTATATCCATGAGTGGATATTGATATCTTCATGAGTGAGCGCAGTGAATGAGTGAAGATATTTGTATCCATGAGTGGATATAATTGAGATTTTTGAGAAACCATAGGATTGTCTGTTTATCCCATGGGAAATCATCAGTGAAAAAAGTGTTTTTTTTAGCGAAAAAATTTGAAAAATATAATTTAAGAAAAAATTTGAAAAAATAATTGAAAAAATTGTGAAAAAATGTTGAATTTTTTTTTTTAATTTTGATTTAAAAAAAAAAATATTTCTGAAAATAATTAAAGAATGAAAAAAGAAATTCTTTTTGAAATAATTCGAAACCATCAAATATCACTTTTCAAACCATCGAATATCACTTTTTAAGACGTGATATTCGATAGTTTAAAGTGATATTCGATGGTTTGTGAATTTTTTGCTAAAATATGATATCTTGATCCACATATCAAATATATCTTCATGTGATATTCGATCTATATCCTTGCAACCATGGGATAATTATAGGATATCCTATGATTTTGAGGAATATCATTTTTATCTACGAGGTGATATTGATATCTGCACGAGAGAGCGAAGCGAACGAGTGCATATATCAATATCACCGAGTAGATTAAAATGATATTCTGAAAAAAATCATAGGATGTTCTTATTATCCTACACTTACAAGGAGTGTACTGAATGTATAATATCATTGTAAAATGAATTTCATGCCAAATAGAGTCAATTTGGCGGGAAATCAACTAGCGGAGTATATCGTCACAATATCCTCCGTATATTGGGTTTTCCGGAGGATATCGTCACGATATCCTCCGCCTGGAGTATATCGTAACGATATCCTCCGGATATTCATTTTGCCAATAAATATCAAATTTATTTTTTCATGTTATTATACATTTAGTACACTAAGTGTAGGATAAACATAAATATCACACACAAGAGCATGTACATGACCCATTACACCATACAAGTGAAATCACCTCAAAGAATTGTGCTGCCATTGTTCCTGGTATTTTATTCTGCTGGAGCTGTGCCTGGCACTCCTTATAGAACCCCAGACGTGTCTCCTCACATGACCAGGCACAGCTCTTCTCAAGTTCCCCATACTCTGCTAGCAACTGGAATGTTAAATTATACAAGGGACGATCCAGGTATTTCAATAAAAGTGCAAAGACCTCTCGAGAAACTGAAACCTTCAAGGCTAAATATAATGATTAAAAAAAATCCACTTCAAGTGCTTAAATGAAGTAAACCCCTGGGAGATTCAAAAATAGCCTCCCAAGTAGTTTACCAAGCATGCCCAAAACTAATCATTTCTTCACACTTAAGTCTGCTTTTGTATCTTTATAAAATTTCAAGTTGAATAGGTAAGTTCTATTCCTGAAATTTTGATGACAGGATTTATGTGGCACCCAGCTAGCAGGACAAGGCAAGGACAAAATAGCACTATGAAAAAATGCAATAAAAAGGGCACAGACCTAACGGTGCAATATCATATATGATGACTTTATCCCAACTGTGATTTGCCACGGTTTCACTTTACCTTATTAATATGTAGTCTATGTGTATCAAGACCTGCCAATTGTGCAAATAAAAGAGCCTCGTTGAACTTGCATCTAGCTTGCAACTCAAGCAACACTTTTCCACATTCCTCTTTAGCTGATTGACTAGTCATGTCTACACATTTGGCAATGTTCAGAGCCATCTGGTGTTCAATACTGAGGCTATAAAGTCTGTCCAGGGTTCTAAAGTCTGGCACTGAAAATAAAATTTTTTATACATTTTTTTTGAGATGATGTGAAGATCTGTTTTTGCTTTTGAAATGTCTAAAGATACTCTATAATGTGGTGCAACTATGTATCTCTTTTGATGTATACAGTGGACCAGGACATTTTCACGAATCACAAAAACAGTTTTCAGATTTTTATGATATTCTTTCGTCAATACGTTTTATAAATAACTACACTGTAGTTTTATTCAACTTCATGAACAAGTCCCAAACATGATGATAATATAATTCATCATGAACTTAGAGCTCATTTCATATAATTCAGAACATACTTTTGCATTCAAAATGGCGGGAAAATGTTGTATGATTGTACGCCATCAGGAGATGTGCCATCCTGGTTGGATTGCAAATGGTCTTCAAGAGCCAGGTTGTGACTTTCATTATTACGTCATCTACCCAGGATATTGTCTCATAAACAGGGCACCCCTGGTCATTTCTGCTTTTCTTCCAGGTTTTATAGAGGGCATCCTTGCATAATTCAAGATGGCTGCTACACTCTGCCATATATGGTCTTGTGTATAGTACATGGCAGAATTTGAAGAAATGGACTAGAGGCGACTCCTAAAAATACATAGAGCATTAACAAAAATGTCACCACTTATAAAGTTACAGTATTGCAAATGCTTACAAATATGAGCAAATGGCAAAATGCAAATTATAGTTAATGGTAATAATATATCTCAAAAATCGAAATCTTTGTTCTTACTGGTAAAAATACTGCAAACCCATTTGCAAGGGCATTAGTATGTGAATTTTCCAGCAAGTGAAATATGATTCCTTCTAGGTCAGTCAACTGCCAAGATGTAGAGGGTACATCTTCTTTGTGTGATATCTTCTTGTATGCTGAATCTTCTAAGTAAGTAGCTAACCAGCAACAAAGGCAATGTAATGTATTGCTTTCCTATAAAACATCACAACAAAGGCAATGCAATGTATTGCTTTCCTATAAAACATCACAACAAGGGGTGGAGTCATATTTCAATGTGTCATTAATTTGTAGAAAACTAATTATGTTGGGAGGATCAAAAGTCAGGTATTATTAGTGGAATTATTGCACATTGATTGGATGATTACGTTCAATTAGGTTCTCAATAAGATTTAACAAATTCTCCCTTTCGCGATTCGCTCTTTGAATCAGAGCGTTCGCAAATATGTACTGAATGAGCACTCAAAAAGGACAAAATTTGATTGGTCAATATTTTCTCACTATGCATTTCGCGTAGCTATTTGCGTGACCCGAAAGTTCTAAATCAAACTAATTACGCAATTTTGTTTTTACCCCCGCACGCTAAATAAAACAATGACAACATCGGAAGTATTCTTCTTTGTCATTGCTTTAATAGTCAGTATACCTAGTTTAATCAATAAAAGATTGTACAATTAACAACAAAATTCGGAAACGAGTACTATAGCTTTGGTTTCGAACCACTGAACAGAGTGACCTAGATAATAGCGACGCTTCTTCTTTGGTCTACTGCTCAGTTATTTGTTGGTTTTCAACGTAACTCTATGATGTAATTTGAAGATGAATACTTTTATTCAGTTGTTGCATCGATGTTGCAGTTTGTAGTGCGGTAAGATTGGCATGAAAGTATTGAAAGTCGAATGGAATTGTTTTTTCCAATATGGCGTCTAGTCAACTGATCATGTGACCTTCTCTTCCGGAATATTTTCTCACTTTTCAATCATCGTTTTCACCACGCTATGAATCAATACAATGAAAAAAATAGCTGTTATATTAAGATTAATAAGAGATCAATCGTTTCTAATAATTTTTTCTGTACCCTCGTACGGGGATATGAACGAATATATCGTTTGAAAAATAGGTGTGAAAATCCCCATGTTAAACCTATGAGGGAAAACAAGGAAGTATAAATTTGTTCCTCCGCGAACTGCATCATGGGAAATATTTTGACCTTATAAGGAAACATTTTCGCGTCTCCTCTTTTGAAGAGGGAACAGCGATTTCGAGAATTGCATGAGGGGACTGACCTTTCTAACAGTAAAACTAGTTTCCCATAAAACATTGATATTTGTCTTGCTGCCTATATTACCTTCCCCTCTATATTAATACTCATATATGAACCAGGCCCGTAGCCAGGGGGGGTTAGCAGGGTTGGGCGTACCCCCTGGCCAAAAATTCTTTCAAAATCATTCAGTTTTTCACCATTTTGAGCACTTCTCAAGTGATTTTACCCATATTTGGGCCAAAATTGTCAAATGTGAACCCCCCTGGAAATTTTCGAAAACTGAACCCCCCTTGGCAAATCCTGGCTATGGGCGTGTGTACTGTCTTAAAATATCATAGACTCCAGTCCCTAGATGAGGGTCTCTCAGATGTCTTCTTAAACCTCAATTGACCCGACTCAAAAAACCTTAGAACAGGGGCAGTAGTTTGATCAGTCTTACTTTATAACAAGCTGATAGTACAGCTAGAACTGGATTTTTGAGCTCAACACAACATTGCAGTAGTTTCTCCCAGGGGTCTGTTTCATGCTGACACTTGAAGAGCACAGCCAGGATATCATCTTCAAGGGAGGATGTATCAAAGGGGATTGCATCAAGATTGTGGGAGCCACTATCAGAGAGAGTGTCCTCCTGTGTGTCCACTGAAGCCTCACCATCACTACTACTGGCAGCTGAAATAGAATTTACAGATTAATTGCTTAAACAATCACTTCAGTGACGCAAGGGACAGCTTTCAATATTTATGATGGTGCTAGAACAGATCACTTTACTGCGGCTGCTCATCTACATTTTCCTACTGTTAATTCCTTCTTTAATGTGCTGTTGAATTTCATAATAATATATACCTCTTGAAATACATGTACTCTATAAATCTTTAATTCGGGCTACTTAATTTGGCGATTTTGAGATATCAGACATATTGGCATCTTTTTAATTTGGCCATTTTTCAATGGGATAAATTACATATCTATATCTATCACATATCCTCCCACCTAATCCAGTAGAATTGTTGTTGATGAACAGTTTAAAATGCTTTAAATTAAACATTAAACAACCCCAACCATCTCATAACTGGAAGATCACCGAACAAAAAACAAGTCAAATTCCTGGGGATTTTGGCAACTAATGAAATTAAAGACAAAATACAGTATTCAAATAAAAGATACATTTAACTATGTGTTTTTTTTGTTGTTGGCTTATATGACCGTGCACGGATACATCTTAGTTCTGAATCACTCCTGTGTTTGGATCAAATGATTATCCTTCCCACTCACATTGCATCCAAAGACAGTCAATGTACTACCAAGACATACAATGTATCATGAAAATTCATTAACAAGATATATCATGAAAATTCATTGACAAGACATATCATGAAAATTCATTGACAACAAGACATATCATGAAAATTCATTCACACAGGCTGGGAAACTCTAAGAGCTGTTCTAGCAATATCGTTTTTTAAATAAATATTTAAAAAATTGAAAATCAAAACATCAGAGAGATTTCATGGATATACATGATTTGACTTATATATCTTCTAAAAGAGAGCTTGAAACTAGAATCTGCACTTTCAGGGTACAAAAAATTGCAAAAAATAGAAATGTTCTCTTTTGAGTCTGGTATTTAATAGGCTGAGATCATGTTATATAACAGAATAAATAATAACGTTCACTTCAGAGTAATCGTGCGGATTGAATATCAGGTAGATATGGTTGTATGTGCGTCAGCATGCCTTTGCTTGTTGGTCTGTTGATTAGCAAAATTATTCATCCTTACGCTATTCCAGCCTACATCTTATAATAGGTATCAACAATATCCCTTTCAAAACGAAGGGACATATTTATTGTCACTGTTGAATGGTATGACAATTGAATTGCCTCCAGTTGTTCAAATTCATTTGTTCCAACTGAGATATGGGCAATTGTATGCCAAATTGTTACCAATAGACCTTTCCAATAGACCCTGCCACATTTTGGTACATCAGAGAAACTTTGAAATATTGGCTAGATTGATGATGTCATTGGTTGTAGGTGGCAATCTGTCCATGCTAAAATAGGATTAACTTATTGTTAATTTTGTAAAAGAACAACCTATGACATCATCAATCTAGCCAATATATCATAGCTTCTTTAATTAACCAAAATGTGGCAGGGTCTATTGGAAAGGTCTATTGACTAGATTTGAAAATTTGATATTTTGAACTGGTCAACAGAAATCACAAAGGATTTAATAAGCAAACTCTACCTTTGCACACCAAAGAGCTGTGAAATGAATATGTATAGTCTAACTACAAGACCCTGTGACCCCATCCTACTACTCAGTAGGATAATAAAATATTACTCAATATACCAATATGCGATAATGTTTAATCTAGTTCAGTTTAGCTACCTCCCGTTTGAAGAGCTCTCATGTATGGTACAACTTCGTCTACATCCGGGTTCTTTCCCATTGGATTACACAGGGGTGCTATTTTCAATGCTACACTGTGACTCTTTTAAACATTTATGTAGAGTTTCATTTGCACAAATGATAGGTATGTATGTAATTAAGATATATGACAAAGCTTTTTGAACTATAATTCCCGAATCTGAAGAAATTTGTAGTTGAAAATGCCGTCCAATTCCAGTGACGTCACTGATATCCCAGAAATTGCTCAGACGCCACTGAAGATCGAAAAAATATAAATAATGTTACTTTGAATCTCTGATTATTGAATAGATTGGATCATATAATTATGCTTGAGGGCTGATGGAAGATCAGAAGCTGAGAAACGTTCAGAGTAATCGACTCGTTCGGCGGGCCAATGAAAATTTTTCCCTTCCAAAGCGATACATCATGGGAGATATTTATGTAAATTACCACCTGAACTCTTATCGCGAATAGGAGTATTGCTCTTCACTTCTTGAGTTACAGCAAAAATATAAAATAGCATGTCATTTTCAGAGAAATAAATAAAATCAACACCGAAAAGGCTGCCATTTAGGAACAAGTGGCTATTTTGAAAATTGACTTTCAAGCTTAATTTAAACTAACAAGCATATATTATGTATAAAATATACACAAGCTAGCTATTTTCATGAAGACCATCAACCCATCAAATACATTAATTCATTTACCAGATTCTTTTCCACGCCCAAGACCAATCCTTGAGTAGAGTTGAGACCTTATATTACGCTGCACCTTGGGTTCAGGCTCTGTATGAGTGGGCTGTTGGCTCAACTGTGTATTCTCTATAACATGTTGAAGGTGCTGTCTCACTGAGTTACTCTTGAAATAGTGAACCAGATCCAAGAGCTGAAATAGAATGTTATGTTGAAAATGGTGCAAAGCTCATACACCAATAAGGCATCAGCCAATAACATTTGAACTCAATCTGATGACATACATTTGGGTTATTCCCCTGTGAGATGTACAAACAGATGAACAGATGAATGGAAGGCTTCTCAATATCCCTACTAAACTATATGGGTCGAGATAATGAATCAGATTACACAATGATTTTTTAATTGCCACTTCATTTAAACGAAGTCATCACTGAGTGGTAAGCTTAAGCAATTCATTATTTATACTTTTCTCTGCGACAATCTAAATTAAATTCGTAATTATGTTCGCAATAGAAGAAGCCACGATTGTCGTGCAAGTTCCGCATCTTATCAAGAACATGACTTCAGGAATAGAATCACTGTACACTATTTACCGGTTCATGTTTCACATACCTGTTTTCTTGGATATTGATGCATCTGTGAAAAAGTCAGGAAGGCTATCCAATTGTCACGTTTTGCTAGTTGGATCAGGTAAAGTTCAGGATATTTCAGTTTATGTATCTGACAGAATTCTACGACCCCGCCCCACATTTCAAGTGTCTCTAGCATATTCCTGAAAAATCACACACACAGTAAAAATTATGGAATTCACAAATGGACCAATCAAGTCAAGGTACTAATAACTGTATCAGGGGCATAGCCATCTTTCAGTCAGGGGTGCGACCGCCAAAAAATTTCGGTTTTCAGTCAGGGGGTGCGATTGTGGCATAAACAAGCGAAAAAATTAAGATTTAATAAAAATTGATGCAACTTGAGCTAGAAGCTTCAAATAAAAAGCAATTTAAAGCTCTTTTCTTCTTCATAATCTCATGGTAATATTTGTATTGGTTATCACCCATTGCACCCCCCCCCCCCCTGGCTATGCCTATGTGTATTCTTATTGCTGAGAATGGTTATCATATGACCATGCAAAGAGAACATGATAGGAACTCTATTGATTCTTGAATGGAGTTGGGCTTGACATTTGTTTGTTTTTATGTATTTAAAGGCCCTATATGCAAAGTTAACACATTCTCTATCATTCATGTACATGTACTATTGTTCATGACTCAATTTGTCAAGCAAAAGGTCCTTTAAAAACAACTTTAAAAAGTTTCACAATATGACCAAAAACGGTTTAAACTTTACATAGGGCCTTTGATAGTTTGGAATACTCAGGGTTTGTTTACTCTGTGACTTGTAACGCTCTTAGATTTTTGTATTTAAATGTGTATTTCAGCACACTTGTGTCTGGAAAATACTATTATAAATCAATATACAAAAAGTGCCAAATTACTTGTTTTTCTGAGCCTGTATTGCAGTTTCAGCCAATGTAAGAAACTCCTTCGCTGCACTCTTGTTTTGCCGTATACACTGGCTAATCAGACCACCTGGAAATAAAATAAACTAATATTCCATGATTCATGAAACATACTTCTACATATTACATTTCATATTGCTCTTCATACAGTGTGTGCAAAGCTTTTTCTATTTTTATGAAAATTGTAGGGCTCTGTTGCGTTTGTATTATTAATATCAAATTCCTCATTCTATAGTTTCTATGATATTATATCTGATATCATGTCAAAATATAAACAGGATTTTTGCTACCTTCAGAAAATATCATATTTCTCGCAAATTTTCACAAAACCATTGAATATGGCTTTTTTTTAAAAACTTTAACTATCGCATATAAAGAGAGACATCCTCTATACAACTGTATATGCAATCAATGGTTAACATATATTTGTGACTTGATTAACAAGGCATTAACATGACAAAATGTCACCACTTAGTTCAAGCTCACAATGTTATGAGTTCAATCTTAAGCCACATATGAATTTCTGAGAACTTGTAGATAATTTTGAAAAGAATAAATTGGTCAATTTGAAGCAAGTCGAAAAAAGACCTTTTTGACCCTGAGAAGGTCATCGAAGGTGAAATCTCAAATCTAAAGTCAGATCTGAACTTCTGAAAACATGTAGATGATTTTGAAAACAATTGAAGTCAGTCTAAACAGTATTTGTTTAGTTAATGAAAATTGTTACATATGCCGATCGCCAACCACCAACCACAAACCGCCAACCACCAATTTCCACCACCAACAGACACCATAACAATATGTCACCACTTTTTGGTGGTGACATAATAATATCGTATTCTTATGAAAAGGAAATAAAAGAAGTCAGTTTACCAACATGTCTTTGCCAAAATGTTTCCATTTCTTTCCTCTTTTCTATGTTTGTATTAAAGTCCCTCATCTTATGCTCAAAGATTGTTCTCCCTAGAGCGATATGGAGTCTAAGAGCAGAACTATCTTCCCCTAGTAGTTCCATGAATGCAACACAAGTGGCACTGATGGCTGCATCATTAAAATATTTGCCACCCATAAAATGTGCCTGCTTACAGGCAGATTTAACTCTGAAATCAAAATTACACAAATACAATATCATTTTTTATTTTATGTTTTTCAGAAAATGCAAATATAGATACATGATATTTGATATACCCCTTTAGCATCTGATCTAAACCTTTTAGGACAACATTATTTTATTGGTCTGATATGGATGATAAAAAGACACCATACAAGCATTGCCAAGACTTTCCTGGATTTTCTATTAAGTATGAGATCTAGCCAGCAACCTAACAAAAATTGTTTCAATTTTAGAACATTTTGGGCTCATAATATTCGTTGTCATGTCTTTTTTGTAAAATTCCCAAAACTAAAGATTTACAATAATATGTTCATTTTTCTATAAATGTGTAGTGACCATATTTATTATTTAAGAGAATTAAAAAAATTTCCCATTTTTGAAATGTGATTCCTGAATAACTTCATCTTAACTGGAACATTTGAGATACAAAAGGTACTCTACTTGCATAAGTTTTACAGCATAAGCGAAAATAATGTAATTGCTACTCAATCTATTAAGAAAATTGAGAAAATAAATTGTAGCATATCTGGAGGAGATGAGAATATCAAATGAAGATGTGAAATGCATTTCAACGCTTAAGCAAAATATGTACATTCTATTAGGAGAGCATCCTCCTAAGCAGGTGTGCAGCTTCCCCCCTGCTATAACTAATTTGGAAGCGCCCAATTAAACTGAATCACATGACAGAATTATGCGCCGATGACGTATACATGATTGCTGTCACAGTGTTGCGACAGCGAATCAAATTGCAAGTTTTTAATCAGGGAAATACTAACTGCTTATTGCAGCGGGTAATAAAAAGAAAGAAGACATTCTGGATTTTGAAGCCCTGTGATCGACGGATGAAGGAGAGCAATACTGTAACATGAAGCACCAACCAGGATGTCCACAAAGGGTTGTGATTTGCTCTCCTGGTTATCCCATAGATAACTGCTTTTGTAATTTTCCCTCTCATTTTAAGGCTGTTCATGATACAATGGTGCAGTGGTATCCCCAGGGGGAACATGGGCTATCCAGGGGTCTTCTGATATATCAACACATGCCGAGTAAAATACTCTATTGTCTTAATTTTTATTCTTATTACATTATTTATCTTCTGTAACCAGATATTATCTTAATGAATGGAGGGACATTAAAAATATAATAATGATAATAGTAACCATGGGTACTAAGCTCACATGGTGAAAGTATATTCTAGACATTATTACTAACCTATACACTTATCTGCCTGGATAGTTAAACAAATCAATGCTATACTTTTGAATTACAACATAAGAAAATAATAAAAGTGGCAGCCATATTTTGCCAAAGCTTCTAGATATAAGCTCACATACATTGTTAATTAACCTATACATGTACTTAACTTCCTGTATAATTTCAAGTTCGTCTATACAATACTTTTAGATTTATAACATAATAAAAGTGGCAGCCATTTTGAATTTTTTTGCTTTTGCCTTGTTTTGCTGTAGTTATTATTGATAACCTATAAATTTAAGTACCTGTACAATTTCAAGGAAATTGTTGGAATACTTGTGCAGTTATGAGCAAAAAAAGCTGAAAACCTGATTTTTCTGGGATAAAAATGGTGGCCATTTTGAATATTTGCTTTTCACTCAACTCATAGATTCATGTGAGGTCATTGGGGAAGGTGGGGCTGAAGTTTTACTAATATAAAGCCTGTTTTATCCTATTTCTCTTTTGGAATAAAATAGATACATAATTCAAGTTACCTTCTCATAGACAGTGTCCTTAACCCACGCTCCATCTGGCTACCAATAAAAGCCACAAAAGCAAACGATGGTCTAGCTTGTTTCAGAAAGTACACAAACGTCAATCTGTCCACTGATCCATATCTCGAACGCAAGTTGGCATCAGAAAAATGTAAAAGAGTCTTCTGTACATCAGATAAGCTATCTCCGTCATCACAGTTTGCCAACTTGTTGATATCTAACACTGTTGTTCCCGTGAGCATTTTATAGAGTGTCAAATCTTGTTGGGATATCACTCCTAAAGGTGTACTTGGAAACAAAGTCAATTGCAATTTTGGGAACCTGGAAATTGTTTGTTTGAGATAAGTTGTGTCAATATCTGTCATTGTGAGTAAAGATTGTAACTGCATGGGTTCATGTTGAAACATGATGGTACTCAGAGCAACAATTGTCTGCCCAGCCATGAACATTTCCCCTACGGAGATAGGACTCTTCTCAAACAAACTCTCTGTTAGATGCCTACTTGTTCTCTCAATATTAGTATCTGAAAATACATGAGATGCCACAAGTAATTTTTTAAAGTTTTTTATATATATAACATTTAAAGATTTTAAAGTTTTTGGAGTTAGGTCAAAAATGATGTTTCCAATATAAAGTTTAATCAATTGAAGAAAGTTTGTCTGATCGATTTCATATTGTTTAAGTGTTATTATATTCAGGCGAACTTTTATATTGTTTGTATTTTTTTGATTTGAGTTAAATGTCTGCAAGCAACTAGAAAAACAGCAACTCCACGGAGTAGCAAATCCCACCGAACAGCCACCTTGAAAATTTCTTCTCAAGCAGAGCTCCTTTATCTATAGGCATCAGTATATAAAATTTGAAGTAAATCCGTCCAATGGTATTTGAGTTATCAAAGATTACCTTTTTTATGAAAAATGGCAGCCATTTTGAAATTCAGCTGACCCCTTTGAAATTTCTTCTGAAGCAGATCTCCTATTTCCCTAAACATCAGGATATAAAATTGGAACCAAATCCATTCACTGGTATTTTAGTTATCGATGATTATGTTTTTTAACGAAAAATGGCAGCCATTTTGAAATTTAGCTGCCATCTTGAAAATCCCTTCTCGAACAGAGCTCCTTTGTCCCTAGGCATCAGCATGTAAAATTTGAACCAAATCCATTCAATAGTATTTGAGTTACCAAAGATAACATTATTTACAAAAAATGGCCGCCATTTTGAAATGTGGTTGCTATCTTGAAAATGTCTTCTTGAGCAAGGTTCCTTTGTACCCAGGCAACAGCATATAAAATTTGATCCAAATCTATTCAATGGCATTTGAGTTATCAAAGATAACATTTTTTTACGAAAAATGGCCGCCATTTTGAAATATGGCGGCCATCTTGAAAATGTCTTCTTCAGCAGGGCTCCTTTGTACCCGGACAACAGCATATAAAATTTGAACCAAATCCATCCACTAGTATTTGAGTAATCAAAGATTATATTTTTTCCGAAAAATGGCCGCCATTTTGAATTTAGCAGCCATATTGAAAATTCCTTCTTGAGCAGAGGTCCTACACCCATAAGGCATAAGCCTATAAAATTTGAATGAAATCCGTTAACCGGTATTTGAGTTGCCCGGACACACGGACACACGAACGGACGGACGGACGGACGGACGAACGGACGGATGAACGGACGGACGGACGGACGGCTTTTCTAAATCCCCCTCAAACTTAGTTCGGTGTGATAATAATAAGTGAATAAAAGATTTAAGCCCAAGACTCAATGCATTGTTTGCTGAATCATTCCATAAAGGTGTTGTTTCCAAACCTTTGCATGACCGTGCAGTGGGAATGCAAAGTTTAGGAAACAATGCCTGCTGAGTGGAATGAAGCAGCTACAATGCATTGAGTCTTGGGCTTAAATTCTTTTCACACATTGCAATTTTTGAATTTTTTTGCAATTAATGAACAAAATCACTAAAAGAACACATTTTTGATGAAATTTTTTGCAAGGGTCGAGTTGGCAAGTCATCAAATCCAATGTGAAAAATCCATTCATTACACCATGACAACTGTTTATTTATTTTTTACACTTTTAAAATGGTGGCACACCAATACTGGGTGCTCTTACAAAAATGTACATAAAATACAAAACATATTCATTTTGTGGTATCATTGAGATTAGGGTGAAACAAAAGCATTAGATAAAAATTGTTTGATACATCTATCTACTAAAACTTCAATCTCTTACCCATAAACACTATGTATATCATTGCCCAGTAGCCAAAGTAATTTGCTCTGAACGTTAAGAGACATTGCATTTTACAAAATCGGGTATCCTGATTACACTATGATTTCTTGTAGCATTTTAAGATTTTTTTGAATTACACTTGTTTTTTCTAAAACACACTCACGGGTAGTATCTAAAGCCCCGCTATGATTGAAAAGTCGCGAGCAAGTTCCCGCTGAAATCGCGAGCATAGTCCTGTTTATTTGTATCACTTTGGAAAATGAACCAAAAGGATGAAAATACTTATTACCGTTCTTTGATACTCCAGCAAAACTTTGAAAACAGATATATTTGACAAAAAATGACATGAAAAATGATTATTTTTTACTTGCATGAAGGAAAGGGGCGTCAACATGCACGTTTGCATAATTTACTGTTCATATATTACCTTTATCGTTAAAATAAAGGCAATAAATACGATTTACAAACTCCATAATAAATATCGGATCAAGATGGTCTGTATTGATAAGTTACTGGACAATGACACCTGCCATGGGGGTCGAAATACATTATTAAAGGTGTTCCAGTGGCCCCGCTGAAAAAATGAGGAGGCCCCGCTAAAAACATGAGGAGACCCCGCTGAAAACACGAGCAAATTTCACGACTACCCGCTTCGATCACGAGGAAAGCTTCATCATTATTCCATGAATATAGTGAGCTTCTTTATATGAACGTACACGAATGTGCAAATAACGTATTAATGACAATCACATAACATATCATTCTATGGCAACATCACAAATATTTCTTCTTCAACTTCAGGCAGTCTAATCCATCTGTCAGCGGCATGATCAAATTTTTATATATAAATAGACTTTGTACATTTCGGAGTTAAATGTACATTCTACATAATTAACTATTCCAAGGATTATACTTCTGAGGACACATATATTTCATTGGTTTCTTTGTCCGACCATTCATTCGTGCGTGCATTCGACCGACCGTTCGTTCGTGCGTGCGTTCGTCCGACGGTCGGTTCCTTCATGCGTGCGTTCATCCGACCGATTGATCGTTCGTGCGTGCATCACCCAATCATGCGTTCGTGGCAGCGTTCATCCGACCGTCCATTCGTTCGTTCGTGCGTGCATCCGTTCGTGCGATTGTCCGTCCGTTTGTGTGCGCATGCGTTCGTCTGACCGTCCGTTTGTGCTTGCTTTCGTCTGACTGCCCTTTCGTTCGTGGGTTCGTCCGTCTAGCCGTCCGTTCGTGCTTTCGTTGAACCGTCCATTCATGCGTGCGTTCGTCTGTTCGTTCTTTTTGCATTCGTTTGTGTGTTCGTTCGTGCGTGCGTTCATTCGTGCGTTCGTTTGGAGGAAGTAAATCGAAGAATTGAAGGGAGTAATATAAGTAAGCAAGGAAGGAAAAAGGAAGCAAAGAAGCAAGGAAGGGAGGAAGCGAGCAAGCAAGTAAGCAACAGGAGATTGATATAGGAATAATATTCATAAACATCATTCTGACTAAATCATTTTATGTTGACCTAAACGCACGCTTATTCGTGTATCTTACTGGATATCGACTTGTACTCAAAGATGGAACAGAGGGGGCAGTTGCAATACAGAGAATACAGAATATTTCCTATGGACTATGTAGTAAGATCACACGATAAAAAACGTTATACAACGATTTAAAGCGCAACATAGGATATATTGTGCTCTCGATATGCTGTATTTCCAAATGATTTCATCTCGTGCCAATACAGAATTTCTTTAGCACAATATATCCTATATTGCACTTCAAATCATTCAATAACTTATATTACTTCAAATTATGAAAATGAGGTTAAATGTTTAACATTTCGTCCGATCTAATACTCATCACATTTCTCAGATGATCTTTCTTATTCTGTAAAATGGCATGGAAATATGATACTGCAGTTTTCCATAACAACGTATCATTGCTGTTATTGAGAATTGTATTGACAAATAATGTATTCATCAAACTGGGTACAATAGTGGATCAAGGTGGGTACGAAAGTGGGAGATTTTCAGGGTATAATCGGGATTCACTCCATTTTTGAGAGACACTTGCTCCTGTTTTCAGCGGGACCTCCTCATGTTTTCAGCGGGGCCTCCTCCTGATTTCAGCGGGATCTTTGCTTAATTGCTCCTGCTAGAAGCGGGGCCTTGAGGAATATGATAAAATTTAAATATAAAATGTTCTGTAAAGCTTTAGGAAGGGAAACTCGGTACATCTTTATTTCATATCACTATCGTTATTTCAACCACAGGACAACATCGTTCTTCGCCAATAACGTATAGAAATAAATAGATAAAGATTCAAAATGATACTTTCTCTCTTCAATTGACAAATAACGAACCACAGAACGACCGTTCGTGATACATTTTTTCCAGCAGTTGCTTTTTTAGTCTCAATACCATTGTAATCATTGGGAAAAATTAAAAGAAAACGTTTTGTAAATCATACAATTCAAGAACACAAAAAAGAACCCATGACTTCTTTTTATTCCTCGCGATATCAGCGGGAACTTGCTCGCGATTTTTAAATCATAGCGGGGCTTTAGATACTACCCGTGACACTGTTCATGCACTTTTACGACATTAATATGGAACATATTAAGTAGAAATATGTATGTATCATAAAATTAATGAAGAAAAAACATTAGTTTTGTCTACCTTGTCCATGTGACCTCAAATTGTTCTTAAATTAAAGGTATTGCAGTGCTCTATAAACTAAGAACATGTAGAAATGACTGAAATTTGAAACCAATTGAAGTAGACCTGGGAAGTGTAATTAAATACAAGTTGTTAATTGACAAAATGTCCAGTTTTATCTTTTGAAAAAGTTGACATCTCTTTTTAAACAAAATCTAGGTCCATTTTCGGAAAAATATCATGATAGCGCACCTGTGCAAATAATGCTGTACCAAAGAAACACCCCCCCCCCCAGCCACACCCGTTATAGCTTGGGCTTATCAAAAGGGGTAACTTTTCAGATGGGTCAAATATTTTGATTATATGTGTCATTTCAAGTTTTCTTTGATTTATGAAGAAGAGTACAAGGGAAGTTAAGGGTACCTGTTGACAGATGGCAAATCCCCGAAGATTTAATTCCATCCTGTTCAGGAAAAACTAAAGTATAGGCAATTTAGAATGTGAATTTCAGATGATGACTCAGCTACTGAGATTGGCATGCTACTAATGAAATATAAATTTAATTACATCAATTTAGAGAATATTTAAAGATATGCTATTAAGATGTTGATATTCGCATATTATCCAAATTACCAATCCTGACTAGATAATGCATTTGATAAATTAAACAGTTATTTCTATGGTTTAATAATAATGCTAATGTAATCCTAATGAAAAACTGTCAATGTCAATTTCAAATAAAAAAGCATAAGGCACTTAGCTCAAGCTTAATCTATAGAAGTCACTTAATATCTTACCAATTACTTATTAGATGTCAAATGGTTAGTTAAGCGCCAAATCTAAATCTACCTATTTACTAGAGGTGTCACACCGACCCGAAGTCGAAAACAGTCAGAACACTCAGGAACATCATAATTGATCGTAAAATGTAGGTAAAAATGCTTTATATTCCCGGAAAAAATGATCGAACTTCTAGCTGGCTTATTTCTTGTATACGTATAAATTACGAATTATTTCTTTATCAAAGCCTTATGATATGCAGTAACACTGAGTGAAACACTTATAGACATGCTTATATTGTGTCGTTTATTCCCAAAGTCATTTCAGTACTACATGACGCGTCAGTTAACACAAAAAGTGCGTTCGTAATTTACATGCAAACAAATACCAAAAAACAAAGGGTAATAATTTCGACACGAGCATAAAATCGTTTGTTTAGACACTTTTGACATCCAAAGGACATCAGAGGATGCCACTGCCAGAAAAGACATTACTGTCTGTAAGCTTTGTAATACCGACTTCGTCTATCAGACAGTATGGGGGTAAGGATCTGAATTTCAGTTTCACTTTCACTTTTCATTTCGGCTTTTTAATTTGTTGTAAAAATAATCGGGAAAAATGATATTCAAATGGTCTTCTGTTCTGTGCAACACTGTAATAGGAGAGCTCGATAATTTAGTCAAATTCATTTTTTCTTCTGACCCGACTCGGAATTACCCAACCCGCAAACTTTTTTCTGACCCGAATAGACCCGAAAAATGTCTGACCCGTGACAGCTCTACTATTTACGTACACTAGATTAAAATCTACATCTACAATGCACATCTCCAGTGCAACTAGTACAATGCCATTTGGTATAAGTTTAGTTTAGTTTATTTATTTAGCTTTTCAGTACAGTGCACGTCAGAACGGCATTTGGTACAACAGCTTTCAGTATAATGTTCAACAAATCATTATTTTGACTGATATCTGCTAAAGTTGGTAATTTCTGATGCCTTCCATTTCATTTAACATCTAAATCCACTATTTCTACTTTATAACATGTAACGGATTTACACGTAGCAAAAAAGAATTTTCATCACAAATCTGAAAAATCTTATTTTTCTGTAAGTTGTTGGGATTACACTTGACTCGTAAAGTACTGAATGACTAATGCAGATTTTTAGTGATACAGTGTCAAGGTGGTTTAAAAATTAAAGTACTTTTGCAAAACCAAAATCTTAATTACACCTGGATCTTAAGAAAGGTTAAATCCAATAGGCGCTTTCTTAAAAGTAATTGCAGCTTGAGTAAAGATTGCTAATACTCTACTGAATAACCAGTAACAATGGTTATTAATTAAGCCCATGGCGGGGCCCATGGTGACCCTAGATACCAACAAAAGTACATTTAACGATGATTACTTCAATGTAACTAATGGTAACCCTAGATTTAAAATTAACTCTGAACATGAAACCTAGACCTTGTCGTCAAGCAGGTCGCAGGAATGACTGCAATGGATGCCTGATTATTTTCACAATTTCCATCAACTCTCTCCATTGGGTTTACTTCATTTACAATACATTTACAAATCTTTAATTTCATTAATAATTTTCTGAAGTCTCTCCTAAATCTTGACCCACCAAGCAGACAAAGATAAAAGTTAACTGCATTGTTCATAAAATATAATGCTACAGATACTCTTAAAAGTATTATGAAATATTCTTTTCTCATCAAAATGTCATAGTTCAGCTGGGCAATATACAGCATAATATTCAATGGGAGGTTCAGCACTATTACTGCAAATGAAACAATAAACAGCATTATTGTTACATTTATTTGCCGCCCCTTGAATGATTCCGATCCTGGCGGATTTGTACTTTCATCAATCCCAACAGTCACTTCTGAGGGATTCTTTATCTTGAATAGGATATAACTGTTGCAAGATATCAATATAACAAACGGTATAAGACTCTGCATCACGCTGTTCCAAATAGGTAATGCCATTGTATCTAAATCCCCATATACATTACACACATTCTCATTAAGTATTGTGTCATAATAAGCTGTGGTATAAAAAAGCATTTGGGAGTCTCTTGCAGCCACAATTATCAAAAGAATCGCAACAACAATGCAAACCAATCGTGTAGAGTGCAACTTCTTTTTCAGTGGGAACTTCAGCAATAAAAGACGATCAACAGTCATTATAGTTACCAAATAAATTGATGTTTCGGCAAAGTATCCTCCAAAGAAAACATGCAATTTGCAGTAAGTTGTCGTCAATGGAATATTGAAGATGACAAAAAACCAGTCGATACTCAATGTAACCATTTGTAGATTATCTACAACAGCTAATGCAGCCATATATAGGCATGTGCTTATCCGACGATTTTTTTTCTGCAGCATCACTCCCAAGGAGAGAGAATTGCCTATCAGTCCAACTAAAATAATTACCGCCGTTACATATACTCGAATGCTGTCTGCACAATTCATATTTATATCTAATTTCTACAACTTTCAATTCTTTGTTTATCAAGCATCTATTCTTTGATTTAATTGTCAATTAGATGTTTAACCACCATTTAGATTAACAGTGTCGTTAATGATTTTAAGTTTATGTGCTTGCACCATTTTTAATAACACACCTCCACCACCATCTTAAATCACAAGATTTCAGTTGTTCCTGCCTTGTGTCTAGACCCAGTGGAAAGCGATGAAAAGCGAGTCCATCATTCCAACATCAGATGATTTGCATTAGCCAATCAAAATATTTCCATGGTGAAAACTTATATATCTCTTACAGGAAGCTGTGTATTAACTATTAATAGGTGTGACAGCCTATTTGCATTACCTTTCTCATATGTACTGCCTGACTTTAACATATAACTAATGAGATTAGATTTTTACCTACATTTTTTGTCAGATCTTATTAGTATCAAACTGGTATTATTCATTAATGTACAGTATATACAGGGTGACCCAAAACAGAACTGCCCAAGAATGTTATCAATTCTTAGATATCTAGGAAATCTAGTTATTATATCAAGTACAGAAACTGGAATCTATGGATGATGATATAACATTTTAATTGTACATAAAGTTTATTTTGCACCAAGATGGAAATCTAAGCTCCTTTTTAAGGAATAAACATAAAGACAAAATCATATCTTGGATGAAATAAAGAGGCAATATAGAAATAAATTCCAAAGAAGACATGATTGCAAAGTCTCAAGTATTTCAAATTGAGAAACAGGTAAAGATTGAAACCAGAATAGAACATCAAGTAAGGCCTAAACAGGGATCAGGGACACCCTAAAACATTGTGCATGAGTCCAAAGATATCATTCGGGTGGCATAGTCTCAACCATAATTTCAGGATGAGTTATATACTGAAGCCAGAGTTTAGAGTATTCAATTGACTATTCAAGAGCAGGCCAGGTCTGAGCCTACTGAAAATGATCTCCATATGTCTTGCATATACATGTAGTAATATCTATTCATTTTTTAGGTTGATAAATCACTGATTTTTTAATACTTGAAATAGGTTGACCTACTCTAGTTGTATCTTAACATTTATTCAAGACAGAATTGGAATTAAAAATTGTGAATTTATCACAAGATGCATCCTTATTAGGAATTCTTCAAGAGAAAGATTTGGACCTTAAATCTTAGTAAAATTTGGTCTATGGCAACCACACATCATTCCCTGAAATCAGTAAAGGGGGGAGTTGTTTGTAGAATGAAGTTTTTCATGCATTTCGCTTATTTTATGTTTTTCATCCAAAAAACATGAATACACTTTAAACCATTTTATTGACTATAAAATTGCACTATATAATCCAAAAGGATATTTCTCATTTTCAAGGATTATCTAAGGATTAACACCCAGGAATTTCGATTTTCTTCAGAGGGTTGTTTAGGAAAGTAAATCTTTAATACACACCTTATTTGGTTGTTTTGGTTTATATCTTTTGTCCCTTCTAAATTAAAACTATAGACCAGATGAGAGTAGAAATAAACTTGTTTTATGTCATTAAAAATTCAAAATTCAGTCAAACTGATGTCATATTTGTATTCTACATGTAAGATTACATGTGGTTTTGAAAAGAGTTTATCAACTTTGAAAATTTAATTTTCTTTGAAAATGTGACTTCTCGGTCCGAGATTTTTTCCATAGACCCCATGATGTAAAATCACAAAAAGTGAAATATCTTTTCTTGTATTGGGCAGATAATATTTTCTTTTACTGGACATGTTTTAATTTGTATAACTATCGGATACATAAGGGTAATATGGAAAGTGAAATCCTAAAACTGATGAATATTCAACTTTAAGAGAACTTTGTAATACCACGACATGTTATTTCCCTAGAATTAGCCACCTGGTGGAGAAACTGGTAACTACATACTCACATCTGAGTAATAATTCAGGGTTATTATGAAAGGCTTACCTGATCCACATGCGCCTAGGTTTCTAAAACTTATCAATGTCGTCCAAGAATGACGTTGATCTTCAGTCAGAATTCCCCTAATGCGATTACAATCATCTTCTGAGAGTCTATAAAATGAAAAATAACTAGACATGTAAATTGAACAAGTTCAATTTAAGACTCCAGATTTAAAACTTTTTTTAAGCTGAGTCATCCAAAATACTGTAAGCTGAGCCATTCAGAATAAGCTGAGTCATCTAAAATACAGACATTTAGAAAACTCTTAAGTAAGTTATCTTCGTCTCCATTGGCTTAACATGGGGATATCATAATATCGACTTTTCGAGACTTCAAACAACTATAACTATCTAACCAGAATTTGGGTCGAAATTTGGTTTGCAGATTCGAATTTCTGAGAAAATTCTACGTTTGTGTCATAACTCATACATTAAATTTTGAGAACTTTTTGTGTTGACCTACTTTCCGGACGCCATTCCTCAAAATCGGTAAGAGTAATCAAAAAAGACAGTTACAATAATGAAAGGACTGTCTTTAAGCTACATGATGAAAGAAAGATAAAGGAATAACGACGAATAGTGACAAAGATAATTGACATAACATGGGATATCAAAATACCAATTTTTTAATTTTTCAAAACGCCATTACTTCCAAACCGAGTGTCGGATTGAAATTTGATTTGCAGATTCGGATTCCTGAGAAAAATTCTACCCTTAATTCATAACTCATACGTTAAATTTGGAGAAACGTTCATGTTGACCTACTTTTCGGACACTATATCTCAAAAGTGGGTCAAAATACTTTCTGACGGCAAAAGGCTAACACTATAAGCACACTCTTTGCTACCTGTATCCAAAATTTTGAAGCAAATAATTAAAGTGTAGTGTCAGAATCGCAAAAATAAGTTAAAACTATAAATTTGACCTAGATTTTGACCTAGGCATTTTGGTGTCCAAATTGTGAAGCTAGCTTTTGAGGTCCCTTTCTTTTATAGGCTTTCATTATGTAAAGCTGTACTTAGTCTATATCTCGTATTTTACACTTCAAAAAAATCTTTTTCCCATTGCCATAACATGGGGCACCAAATTTAGCGATTTTTGAGCTTTCAAAACGACATAACTTCCGAACCAAAAGTCGGATTGAAATTTGGATTGCAGATTTGGATTCCTGAGAAAATTCTACCCTTAATTCATAACTCATGCGTAAAATTTGGAGGACTTTTTAGCTTGACCTACTTTTCGGACACCATATCTCAAAAGTGGGTCAAAATACTTTCTGACGGCAAAAGGCTAACACTATTAGCACACTCTTGGCTACATGTATAAAAAATTTCGAAGAATATAATTAATCTGTAGTGTCAGAATCGCAAAAATAAGGAAAAACTTTGAATTTGACCTAGATTTTGACCTAGGCATTTTGGTGTCCAAATTTTTATGAAAAGAAGGTCTTGTGGTCCCTTTCTTTAATGGGCTTCCATTATGTTTAGCTGTGCTTAGTCTATATCTCGTATTTTACACTTCAAAAAAATATTTTTTCCCATTGAATTAACATGGGGCACCAAATTTAGCGATTTTTGAATTTTCAAAACGCCATAACTTCCGAACCGGAAGTCGGATCGAAATTTGATTTGTAGATTCGGATTCCTGACAAAATTCTATCCCTAATTCATAACTCATACGTTAAATTTGGAAATTTTTTATTTTGACCTACTTTTTGGACACGCCATAACTTCCAAACCGGAAGTCGGATTGAAATTTGGTTTGCAGATTCGGATTCCTGAGAAAATTCTACCCCTAAATCATAACTCATACGTTGAATCTGGAGAACTTTTCATTTTGACCTACTTTTCGGACACCATATCTCAAAAGTGGGTCAAAATACTTTCTGACGGCAAAAGGCTAACACTATTAGCACACTCTTTGCTACCTGTATACAAAATTTTGAAGCAAATTATTAAAGTGTAGTGTCAGAATCGTAAAAATAAGGAAAAACTATGAATTTGACCTAGATTTTGACCTAGGCATTTTGGTGTCCAAATTTTGAAGCTATGTAGCTTTTGAGGTCCCCTTCTTTTACAAGCATTCATTATGTTAAGCTGTACTCAGTCTATATCCTGTATTTTACACTTCGAAAAAGTCTTTTATCCCATTGACTTAACATAGGCACCAAATTTAGCGATTTTTGAGCTTTCAAAACGCCATAACTTCCGAACCGGAAGTCCGATCCAAATTTGGTTTGCAGATTTGGATTCCTGAGAAAATTTTACATCTTTTTCATAGCTCACACATTCGATTTGGGGCATGTTTTGGCGTGACCTACATTTCGGACGCCATATCTCAAAATCGGTAAGAGTAATCAAAATTCTGATGTCATATCTTTGATTCGCCTTTTTCTAAGCTACACGATGAAAAAAAGATGAAGGAGTTACGAAGAATATTGACGAAGATATGATAAAGAATGTTGAAAATGTAAGATTTGACCTAGTTCTTGACCTTTGACCTAGATAAAAATTTGACCTAATTTCCCAGAAAGCCGGTTTCAGTCTTTAGTTAACCATGTAAGTTGGATTAAGTAAGCTGTTATAGTTGACGAGAAATTTGGTGAGGAGGAAGAAAAATAATAATAATAATAATAAAGAAAACAGGCAAAAACAATAGACTCCAGATTTTCAATCTGGAGTCTAATAAGCAGTGGAGATCAGGTAACAGAAATTAATTACAACTAGCCTTTCAGCCTGTGGGTGGTCTATCAATAATTGTATTGTATAAGTTATTATGTTACTAAAAGCAAATTAATTTGGCCCCTAAATTATCAATGTGTATGAAGTAGGTTATGAACTATGAAGTTAAGAGCTATTGCAGTTATAGCAGTTTTGGCCTCCATAGTCATGATATAGGGACAGAAAATATTGGCTTTTTAAAAGTAATGTAATTACTTAATTCCATAAAAATCTCACATCATTAGCCAAAGTAGCACTTTTTCAAAATGATTAACTGACCATGATTCAAAAAGAGTTTCTACCATAAAAACCATTTTCTTTGATAACTAACGAAAATAACATTAATTTTAAAGTGCCAATATTTGATGTCCCTATATCTTGACTCTGGTGCCACAGTGAAGCCCTATAAGATGCTCAGTAATTAATTTATGACTAGACTCCTTTGAAACTTTGAGGATTTCTTTGACAAACTGACATATTAATAAAAATGTTAATCTAAAATGTACAGTTCAGCTTAATAATACTGCGTAGACACACTGTTATCCTTACTCTCAGTACAAGACTACAAGCTTTCAATAATATCAAGCGTATGTGTTGCGTACCTATGGAAGTCCACATAGTGATACAATAATGGCAGCAACTTGTTTTTCAGACACATTTCTATGAAATGAAGGTGGTAATCATCTTGGGAGATAACCTGACTGTCACCATTTGTCGCCATATCCTTGGGGTATGCGATCACATTATGCACACGTGCTTGCCTCTTCAACAACTTACTCCAGTTTTGACATTCATCAGAACTGAACACCCCTCTCCTAAAATGAGAGATATTAGTTTTCAAAATTGATCAATTATTTTTACATAATATTCCTATATTATAGGTTTCATATAAAGGTTTGATTGATGCCAAATGTTCACACTAAATGCCACACTGAAGTTATACTGAATGCCACACTGAAGCTACACTGAATGCCACACTGAAGTTACACTGAATGCCACATTGAAGTTACACTAAATGCCACATTGAAGTTACACTGAGAAGTTACACTGAATGCCACACTGAAGTTACACTGAATGCCACACTGAAGTAACACTGAATGCCACAATGAAGTTACACTGAATGCCACATTGAAGTTACACTGAATGCCACACTGAAGTTACACTGAATGCCACACTGAACACCAGCCACCATAAATGCTTCTTATAACACATATCAAAAATATATATAAAAAATATATAATTGTTTACTTGAAAAATATTGAAATAAATCTTAATGATACCTGGCTGCCTCATCTAAAAGGGCGTTTCTCGTATAATCACTGCAATTCTGGAGGGAATCCAACCTCTCAGATGTCACATCTAAAACAAACAAGTTGAATAAGAGAAATCTGAGCCTTAACATAGGACATAGGAAACAACGCTCTTAGAAATACATAGATAGTTGATGTGTTGCTCAGTGCCACAAAGAAAGAAAGAAGTCATATTTGTACTTTCACCTTTTCAACACATTTTCATATAAATTTAAGTCGGGCCTTGGGATTGGTCAGGAAATTAGATTTCATAATAGTTCACCTTTTTATATCTCTTTAACACATGGTGGGATGGGAAGATTTGTCTGCTGGTTTTTTTAACTTTTTTATCATTATTAGTAACATATATTTATTAACCAATACAATATGTAATTGTGATGTAATCATGATGAAAATAAAATATTTATTGTTAAGAAAACCAATTGCATATGGCCTTTAATAGTTCTGAAAAGAAAGAGAATGGAGGGTCTGAGTCTGAATCTTAGAGTATACTCGCAAAATATGCATGTTCTCAATGTCTCTAGGAATACCCATCCAACAGATTGAAATCCAGTGATTCAGAATTGGTCCAGATGGCAAAGAGTTACTGTTTAATGAAACAGACAGGATGGGGGTTGGTCAAACTTCATAATTGTCGCAATGTAGTGTAAAGGGAAGATGCTAGTCACTTAAAACTTTACCTAATCCAGGAATGCTCTCCCCATCCCTCACCCATGCAAGCAGTGCCTCTGTGGCATTGTGTCTCACCAAATAGTCCAACATCACATCTGGAGTAATCTGCTCATTAAGGAGATCTAAAAAAATTATCGAAAAAATATTTTTGATGACCAATCAAATGTACATTAAATGGTGACAGGTCATCTCAACCCCAAGTCATCTCAACCCAGTCCAACTCAACCCCAAGTCACCTCAACCCCAAGTCAAGTCAACCCCAGTAAAACTCAACCCCAAGTCAACTCAACCCTGTAAAACTCAACCCCAGTAAAACTCAACCCTTTTCATTTGTGCAATGTCTAATTTGATTTTTTTATGATGAATAATTTTAGTCATTCATTTCTGAAAATCTAGCATTTTGCATGATACTTTGAATAGAAAGTTGTAAAAGTATTCAAAAAAACGGTTAAGCTCAAGGATAATTCATCAAGTTGACACAATTATTTAATTAAAGACATCTTTTGAAATCAAATTTGAGACAATTTAGAAATAATTAACAATGTAATATAACTTTTTATTTATATGAACATGCTTTAACAAAATCATTAACATTTAGTAATTAATAGACTGAAAGCATAGATGTAGCCAGGAGGGGTGCACACACACACTTCCCCCAATTTTGAAGGAAGTTGCATCATTTTTTGTCAAAACATATCATGGTCATGTTCCAGTTTTCCAAATAATCACGAGTGTCAACCTCATAGGGATTACAACAAAACAAACATATTAGCAAGATTAATATAATGACTCATATTTTAATCCTATGATTATGATTATATTGACATTTTGGAGATAAACTCATTATTAACTATAATCTAAAAAGGCAGTGGTCTAAGAATGAAAATCACAAACTGAATCATCAGAATTGTTTTTATGAAATAAACTTTCTTATAAGTTTATCAATATATAGAAATATAGGGGTTGAGTTTTACTGGGGTTGAGTTTTACAGGGTTGAGTTGACTTGGGGTTGAGTTTTACTGGGGTTGACTTGACTTGGGGTTGAGTTGACTTGGGGTTGAATTTTACAGGGTTGAGTTGACTTGGGGTTGAGATGACCAGGAAGCCATTAAATTTACATTAAGTTATGGATCACAGAAAAGTGTTCCATTTATGGAGGTGTTCAAATTTAAAGGTTTTACTGATAATATACAAGGGGCAATCCACATCCCTGTTAAAAATGCTCTCATTTTTAAAATTTCTTTTCCCTATATATCATGTAATTGTGTTATTTTCACTTAAACCTCACTTAAGTAGCAACTCAATAGAATGAACAGTACATGTAGTTTATTTTAACCTCTTGACTACTCAGAGTGAAACATCTGCACATAATGTGTCATTTATTTTGAAAACAGTTCCTGTCTACATCATAGCATGATGACTGTATTTTGGATATCAGGTATTCATGTAGATGAGTATTTTTTTGCCAGCAACATTGTATGTTTCATGCACATGTACTGTATTTTTGATTGGATGTTCAAAGAAAACAAACCTTTAGTGTTGAGAAGTCTCTCTATGAGCACACTCTGTCTAGTAGCATCATCCCAGCCTCTCAACCACTCTAACAACATGTGACTATAATATGACGTCTGGGAGTTTGCCAAATCTGACTCCACAAGATCTCCTGCAGCGACACCTATTGGGTGATCCATCTGTGACATCACATCTTTGAGGTGTGTTGTATCGCTCCATTCTCTAAAAACATTAAAACAAGATATCATAAAATTTGGCAGTTTTTCACTCCATAAGGTCAACAATTTGCAAATCCAAAGTTTGGGCGGAAAGCATACGGGGTAAAGTTTTTCCATTTATTGTGAGGGTGAGTGCTTTGGCCATTCGCAACTTGAACTTGTATATTCAAATGCTATGTTCCCTGCAAGTTAATTGTCAGTTTAGCACAATTATTGGGTTGGGGGATATTACTCAGTGATCAGGCTTTTTCTCCTTTCTTTCTCATAAAAAACATGTAAAAAACTCCTTAAAACAGTTTGACCAGGAAGGAATTGTGGGCCCTGTTGAACACTATAACAAGTAAAATATATTTTATTTGCAAGGGCACATAATCATACATTTGGTTTACATAAGCCTTTGTTATTACTTACACAACTTCTCCATCAGTTCTGAGGACCTTTGCCATATCAAATGACACACAGGAGTACCAAGCCTCAAGTTTATGCAGGTATTCAACCATTCCGAGTTCAAACTCACTCAAGTCACCCTTGCTCCTAAGCTCCTCAATCAAATAGTCTCGCAGACTTTTGTATGGTGTGAAGAAACATACCTGACGCAACTTGGATGTAGCATCAAATCCCTGCAATTCAAAATAGCACTGATTAAAGTAGTCTTGGCTCAAGACCCTCCCCCCCCCCGTCGTCCTACTTCAACAATAGTTATTGAAGTAGATAAGGAGGGAGTCTAGGGTCTTGGAGAAGGACTATGACTAAAGGCATATCAATGAATGAGAATGACAATAATTGATATGTAAATGAAGAGATGTGTCTTGGAATTCAAACAACTGTACGATTTACTCCTTGAATAATACAATCTGAGGATTATATCCAAGCATATCCATCCTTATCCTCAATGGTGATAAAAGGCTACCTAAAGCTGTAAACTAAGATATCCTCAAATGTAGTGCCATCTTTTTTGAACGATGTAAAAATGTCTAGGTCACCCCCACCACTGTAACCCTCCACAAATAGAACCCCTATTTTAATGTCTGATTGAATACTGTTAATTGATCTTCATCATATAACGTGGCTGATAATGCTGATGCCCAGCCACAAGCACATGTGCACTTGTTTAATGTATTCTTTGTATAAATATATAAAAAATAAAAAAAAAATAAAAAAAATATCCAAGCATTAGAAACCCATAATAATTGATTCATAGCAATTTACAAACATTTTAAACAAGAATTTTGTCAAATAGGTTGAATGCCTACTAAATTTGTGAACAGAGTCCTTGCAGTTTGTATTTCTCTCTCACTGATATGTTTAAGGGCCCACTGTAAGCCAACATTCACTATATTTGCAATGTCACCCTCCCCTGTGTTGAATCTGCCAGCAAGGTAGCACTGTACAAGGGGAATGTTGCCTTCTATGATACCATCACAGATCACAGCCTGGATAATATACAATGCAAATGAGATTACACGATAATAACTCTGAATGGATGAATACAGAACAATGTATTGCCTACAAAATCAAAATAACAGACTCTATTTCAATGTAATCAACAATCACGTTTTTCATTTCCAAATAATCACATTTGGCTGACCAAAATGAAGTATATAATGCGTATCACTTAATTTTATTACTTCATTTGACATGTGACTCCAATGTGATGGGAAATTTTCCTCAAATACTTCTACACCGTCAACGACATCATCCCTCGCAACAGGGGTCTTCAGTAATGTACGCAGAAACACAATATTTGATGTAAGTTTCTCCATGGCTCCTTGCAACTCATTAATGGCTAAAAACAGAGATTTTGGAATTATAATTGAACAAAATCTTTATAAATATCACTGGCACAATTAGCATACAGATGACGAAATAATTGTGTGAGCATTTGAAAAGTATTCTAAATATAATTACATGTTATCGCACAAATATGACCTCATTTTTGTAATGAATATATCTTAACTTCAGTACAGTTGTACAATCAAACAATTTCTATGTGTAAAACTCATTTAAAATAATATACCAATTAAAATTGATACCTTTTTTAGCAGCACTTATCTCCAGGTGCCCGACTGGTTGAGAATATGTGTAGTTATCGTGTATCTCCGACAATGTTCCCAACAAGGTGTGTAGATAGCTCAATGTTATTCTCAGCAACTGCTGACCAAACTGCAGAGATTGGTGATCACTAAGATTCTCCTGAAAATAAGGAAGGCGAAACTTGAAGATGGGAGATGATGGGGGAAATTGAATGGAGATTGGTTGGAAAGATGAAATGGTAAATAATGAGGAGGGGGAACTAAAGTGGATGAGGTATGATGAAAGAACGAGAGGGAGGAAGAGGCCATTCCTAGGTAAGAGGATAAAGGAGATTAGATTTATAAAAGATGAAGGTGGGATGAGACGGAGTGACTTCTTCTTCAGGAGACAATAGGATAGATTTAATAAAGCATCAATAGACTGTTTTGGAAGTGAATTATGCAATTTTTCTTTAATAATTTTAGCAAAAAAAGACATGAAAAGATGCATTTTCATTGACTCCTGGCTTAATTTTTTGTAACTGAGTTGACTCAAGTTATCTTTGCGACTTGCACCACCAGTCAATATATCCTATAGGCCTACTAGAAATATATCTTTCTTTTGTGAAGCAAATGGTGGCAGGATATATTGGTGTACTAAAGAAATATAGACCGAAGAGCGGGATTAATATTGTCAAATACACCCCGCAGGGCTAGGCACAAACGTTTTCAGTAAGGGTTAGAAAGTTTTTGTGCCTAGCCCTAAGGGGTGTATTCGACGATATTACCCCTGCTCTGAAGTCTATATTAAGATTCGAACATGAAAACTCACCAAAATGTTTCGAATATTCATTATGGTCTGCCATTACAATGACCTGCCGTTGTGATGTCACACATTACATGTATCACCAAAGGTATTCTTCGCGAATATACCCCAGGTGAAATGTTGACTTTGTTCACAGTTTATAGAAGGGGTGAATACAGTTATGTTCGAATACTATTTCTCACCTGGATTGTGGTCGTAAGCAAGGCTATGATAGCATCCATGTGAAAGATGTCCATGTCTGTGAACACAACATGTTTGGCAGTGGTGCCTGTATCGGTGAGAGATGACTTTAAAGCTAACAGATCTAAAAAAAACAGATTTATTTTCAATCATAACAGATTGCACAATGTACATATAGATGCTATTTCCATATTTTTGAAAACAGTAATTCTACCTAATTTTATATGCATCTGTATTAATGAAGTAAAGCACAATTAATTAATTTTTTATATGATAATCTACTTTATTCATCAATCATACATTATACATCTAAGGACTGGCCAAACTAGAAAAACAGCAACTCCACGGGGTAGCAAATCCTTCGTTCGGTGGGATAATTATTTTGAGGCATCAAAGGTGTTCTCCTTACACAGGTTCTACTGTACTTACCATTCTGTCTGCTACTGAGGAAGAACAACACAGTGTCCAGTTGCCTGTGTTTCAGACCTATCTCCAGTGTGTGCATAGGAATACTGTGGCATTCCCAGTTGTTCAGTCTACACAACACATCTGCTAACCCTGCACTGCCATAAACCATCAACTGGAACCATAAAATAACAAGGCATTAACATGCAAAATGTCACCACCTTCCATTTGTTACAGAGGCTGAACATTGACATTCAATGTTAACATTTTGTTATTAATCATGGAGTGATTATTGTATAGGTTAGGAATTCTTATGTCAATACTGATACAAGTAATATTAACCAAAATGTTGATAATAGTTCATTTTAATACTAGTACGCTCAATATTGACCTTGGTATGTTCAATGTTGAATAGATTGAATTTTGTTGAAATTCAGTGAGATAAATCTTGAAAAATCAGCTTATTTTGATCAACATTCTTCAAATTGTGAATTTACAAATTTTGCCTCAACTCTATATAAATATCATGTAAAATCAGGTGAACATCAAAAGACCTAAGCTTTCGATGCCTCAGATCATTCATTTAATTCCTCGCAATAGCATACCTTGTTAATGAGTCTCTCCTGCTGAAGGTTCACTGTTAAGCTGTAAAAGGCTGATGATGATACAACCAAGTGAGGCAGGGCAGAGTTATGTGAGAATAGCACACCACTGTTAGGATCAACCCTACAAATAAGAGAACATGAAGTAGAAATAAACAGGGTATGTGAAGTAAACTGAGTTTTGTGATTATATGTATATCTTTCACATACTATCTTGTACCCATGGGCTAGCATACTGAAGTCCTGAATATACAGATTTATCTAACTAGGTCAACTTAAAAAATGAATGTTTTATGTATCATTCAATTAGAAATGTCTAAAATAAAATGTTATTTTTCACTTGAGAGGTGAGATTTGTTGACCGCAACCATCACCATACTTTTTTCAATAGTTTCAATAATAAGAATTTCATCTTAAACTTTGAATATGAGACATGCTTTGATCTAGTCTTGTCTAATCAGATTGGATTCAGCTAACCAATCAGAATTGTAGTCATAGAATTGTATGTTTAATTATTTGCCAGCATTTCTTTTACATTTAATTCATGAGAACCATAAACTCAATGCCTCGCCTCAACTCAATGCCTCATCTGAACTCAGTGCCTCATCTGAACTCAGTACCTCACCTCAACTCAGTGCCTCACCTCAAAACAATGCCTTATCTCAACTCGGTGTCTCATCTCACCCCAATGCCTCAACTCAAGTCAGTGCCTCTACTCAGTGCCTCTCACCTCAACTCAGAACCTCACCTCAACTCAGTGCTTGCCTCGACTCAGTGCCTTACCTATACTAAGTATCTTGCCTTAACTTAGTACCTCACCTCAACTCAGTGCCTCAGCTAAACTCAGTACCTCAACTCAACTCAGTGCCTTACCTCAACTTAGCACCTTGCCTCAACTTAGTGCCTCACCTCAACTGAGTACCTTACCTCAACTCAGTGCCTCACCTCAACTCAGTGCCTCATCTTAACTTAGAACCTTGCCTCAACTCAGTGCCTTACCTCAATTTAGTACCTTGCCTCAACTTAGTGCCTCACCTCAACTGAGTACCTTACCTCAACTCAGTGCCTCACCTCAACTCAGTGCCTCATCTTAACTTAGAACCTTGCCTCAACTTAGTGCCTCACCTCAACTCAGTGCCTTACCTCAACTCAGTGTCTCACCTCAACTCAGTGCCTTACCTCAACTCAGTGTCTCACCTCCACAGGCACATAGAAGAGAATTTGGTGCCAGTGGGATTTATGACAGAATGGGAATAAATTGTTACCTAAACTTCTTCCATGTTCCATCTTTGATATTGTAACAACAGATGTATTTTGCAGGTGCCTCCATCTTTTGTATGATAAAATAGATGGCAGTGTCATCAACATGAATTTCTCTGACATCATTAAGAGTGACATCATCACCAGGTATATGAATATCTCTAGTCTGTGTGCTTTTAGTCATTTCTTCATGCTTCAACTTGAATCCGGTCCATTTTGGCTTACTTGCAATACCATGGTGATCCCTTGATTTTGAAGCGTGAGTATTTGTGCGCTGGTAAAGGTCACCAAGCTGGTTTTTCCATGTTGCATCTGATATGCGACTAGCCTTTAAAAATTCATTTAAATTATCAAGCGCATGTATTGAACGGTTCAATATTCACAAAATTGGGTTTCCAAGGTATCACTAAAAACAATATTTGCAATCACTTTGATTTAAAGCCCATGATGATATTGATCTCAGAATAAATGTGAATTCAAAAATTAAGATTTCATAATTGTTCAAATTTTTGAATTTGCGCAGCAGAATTTATGAAGATACAAACTTGATAAGGCTGGGGACATGTTCATCGATGATGGACGCGATCTTATAGCTTCGCTGGGTGATGCAAAAATAACACATTACAAAATGGAAATTAAAGAGGAATTTAGATTGCCATATAATGAGAGAAGCCTCTTGGAGTGTAATAACTACTTTAGAATATACATGTACAGGGTGTCCAATAAATAAGGTGAAAGATATTGTAACTTTCTTAATATTGCACCAATCTTGATAAAATTTCCAGAGTTTCTAGATCAAACCTTTTTACCTTTATTCTGTGAATTTAAAGCGTCTTCTATTTGATTGGCCAGAGTTGTGGTTGCTATAGCAACCGAAACAACATAAAGGTGGGGCAAGTTTGTTTACGTCAGAACTTTCCAAAATATATTTATTATTTCTGATAGCTTTATTCATACTCCCAGGTCTATTACTACCACAAATACAATATAAAAACAATCCTAAAGTCTCATTGTTATGAAAATAAGCTATTCAACATAATGTCCATCTCTAGCTATACACTTCTTATGCTTATTCATCCTTACTCGAGTCTCTAGCCAATACTTGGCTAGAGGGGATTGCATCTTGAATACTGTGAACTCTATTTGAAAAAAGCTGGCCGTGGTGTCGTAAATTTATTGAATATTTTAAAAATCGTCAGATAAATAAATCATTAATCAAACCGGACCCAGCTCGGCTCCTTGATGAGATATGACATGATTTCATCAGGATTTCGTCTAAAATTAAAACAAAATGGCTCCAAGAAAAATGGCGATGTTCGAAAACTGGACGAAATGTCGTTAACGTCTGACATTAGTAACTGGCTGTAAATTCTAAGTTAGCGATCCAGATGATGTGAACTAATACACTGATCACTTTATGTGTGTTTTGGAATTTTTGGTGAGGTAATAAGACTAAAACTCGCAATTCAAATTCTGATGTTGAAAAATGGCGGACATATGATTTCAAATTTTATGATTACGACATGACCATTTGTTCATGCAGGAATATATCTGTACTGGAAGGCCACGATACAGTGGCCTTAGAAGAAGGTAAATTCATCCACTCTCTAAACACACTTTCAAACCCATTCCGTTAAAAAACGTCCAGGAGAGAAGTTTCTGCTGTACTGTGACAATGCCCCCTCACACACAGCTATGCTCACTAGTGAAACAATTAGGGCACTGGGGCTACCCCTACTTGCACACCCTCCATATTCCCCAGACCTTGCACCCGATGACTTTTACTTACATGCAGAACTCAAGCGTGGCTTGAGAGGAAATAAATTTGGAAGCACTGATGAACTCAGATCACATGTCTTAGCAAGACTTCAGAAAATGGGCAAGAATGGGTTTGAAAGTGTGTTTAGAGAGTGGGTGAATAGGCATAAGAAGTGTGAAGCTAGAGATGGACATTATGTTGAATAGCTTATTTTCATAACAATGGGACTTTAAGACTGTTTTTATATTGTATTTATGGTAGTAATAGACCTGGGAGTATGAATAAAGATCTCAGAAAGAGTAAATATGTTTTGGAAAGTTGTGACGTAAACAAACTTGCCCCGCCTTTTTGTTGTTTCGGTTGCTATAGCAACCACAACTCTGGCCAATCAAATAGAAGACGCTTTAAATTCACAGAATAAAGGTAAAAAGGTTTGGGCAACAAACTCTGGAAATTTCATCAAGATTGGTGCAATATTAAGAAAGTTACAATATCTTTCACCTTATTTATTGGACACCCTGTACCTGTACACTCTCTGAATCCAATTCTCTTACTGCAGGATGTGCCTGTTCATAAATGCATGAATTCTCTATGATCTTCCATTTGGCTATATAATGTCTTATATCAATGGTTACAATGTGACCTTCAACATTGTCCATTAGAACCACATATGACAGATCTGTGCTCAATATCACATTGGTAAATGTATCAGGGGTAAAATCTGGTTGTTTGTGGTTTTTTAAAAGGTCCTTTATTGATAATGTGTGTTTTCTCTTTTCTTGCTTGAAGATGCTAAAATCTGTAGAGGGTTAAGGGATTCAACAAACTCTTCAGTTCCGTTCATAAATCTAGGAAACAAGTACTGAATAGCATATTTTTATAGCTTAAATTGAGAAACACATTGAAATTTCAATTCACATTTTTGGTTTACCTTTTATATGATTTGCATGGTACCATTTGCATTCTATCTGGAAACTTTTCAAGGATACATAAGGAATCGCCATCTAATTCAACTATGACATCACGCTGACACATTGCCTTGGATTCCATTAGCAATTTCTTGTAGTAGGCTAGTACCTTTAACTGTCCTTCTTGGCTTACAGCTACCTGTATGATATGCTCTCTATTACACTCTAGTATTGCACAGTGATTGTATTGACTCAGTAGGTTTATGTCAGCAAATTCCATATCTGAAACACAGCAGTGACAGTCCACCACAAAGCCTCAAGAAAACAGCCACATGTGTTCATCTTGGTTCTTGTTAGAAATCAGACAAAGTTGACTTCATAGTAATAGAGTCAAATCTCCATCTTTTCTTTGTCAAGAAATGCAATTTTTTAACTGGGCATTTTCTGATTTTTCACAAAAATTGGCTATTTATTTAACATGTACTAAAATTTAACTAAAATGTTGTCATTGGGTTGCCCCAATATTTTCAAATCAGAAATCCCTGATCAAGCATGAATTTCTCTGAGCTGAGCATATACTTTGTTTTTAGCAACATAATGACAATACTATTGAATGAATGCATTGACATGGTTGGAGTAAATGTATTTCTTGCCATTTCATGTATCATTTTAGATTGTAATCTAACTTTTTCCTGACGGTGGCAACTCTGTATTATTTACCTGGTCCCCCATGTTGTGTGATGAGGCTTGCTATATCATTTTGTGTCATTGTTGCTACAATGTTCCAATCATTCTCCTCTAAACATGGACCATATACTTCCAAAGTCCCATTCTGCTTTAGGCAGACAATGTTGTTGTCTACCCACCAATGTCTACAAGTAAAATAAGTATATGCTAGGTAGGTAGATTGGATCGCTAGATGAGAAAGAAAATTTATACCTGTCGGTTATCAGTTTCAACAATTCCACGAGTCTGGAATAGTTCTCTAAACTATCTGTAATAATACATTTCATTTTGGATATAGAGGCAACATACAGGTAGATCTTAACCCTGGACCACAGACCCGGAAACATGAACAAAAATTGTGCTTAGAGTCCACTAAGAAAAAATTTACTTAAGACAAATTGTGATTTTGCACTAATTATACATGTTCCTGGCTTATGGTATCCTACCGACCACTTTAGATTGTGGTCGTACGCCCGTATTATTAGTAAGCCTGTCTTTCTACAATGTTGGAGAATGAACTACGCATTGCCCTATTAAATGACCTACCTCGATACATTCCAGAGTATTTTAGAATTTTTTTTATGTTGTTAGATTGCCAATTGTATGGGTTTATCGGCAGAACGAAGATATTTTCATTTTTGAAAGCAATATTTGCGTGTAATATTTAACTTATTTCAACCGTCAAATTCCTCGATCCATTCAGTTCCCGGCATGCACCAGTCATAAGGGAAATCCCTGGGGAATTCCCCTTCCAACATTTTCAAAATTGCTGATATATTTCCGATGTAAAAACTAAAATCTCTTTGTTCTGCCGATAAACCCATACAATTAGCGATCTAACAACATAAAAATATTCTAAAATACTCTGGAATGTATCGAGGTAGGTCATTTAATAGTGCAATGCGTAGTTCATTCTCCGACATTGTAGAAAGACAGGCTTACTAATAATACGGGTGTACAACCACAATCTAAAGGGGTCGTAGGATGCGATAAGTTCCTGGCCTGTGCCCTGGACAACTGACAGAATTACAGACTCGATGTAATACATGACACCAGAACATCACAGCTACATTAGGACAAAGTTGGTCAATCTTTGTCTTCGACCAATTCAACAAAAATAACTTGACTAAACCAAGGGACTAAAAAGAGATTTGAATGAGTGAAAACTAGAAGTCAAACTGATAAATTCTTTCTGTCACTCTGTGATGTGAAGAAAAATAAAAAATCACCTTTGCACTTTTATAGCCAGGTTTTTTACATGATCGCCGTTTGCCTGGCAAATAGCTACATCTCCATTTGAAGATTGGATACTTAAAATCACATTATCTTTACTAATACCAACAAGATCTATTCCATGTATATCGATATTTTTTGAAAAACAGCTGAGCAAGGGGAGTTCACAAGTTTCTTGCGCCATGTTTTGGTTTTGGGGTCAAGGTCAGTTAAGATAAAAAACGAACATAAATACTTTCAAATCAAAATTATGTTTCTATATCAATACCAAAATATTATTGCAAAATCGATAGATGTTTGCTTGGACTAATTCTCCATATTTCCATTGCATATATAAACAACGATCTTATTCATAAAAACACATTACTTTGTTTTATTACAACATTGAAATGATTGAATAATGGTTCTTTGATTGCTTATTAATTCGTTGCGTAAATATAATGCATGTTCAATGTATCTATTTATAGAATCAAGGGTTCTAGTATAAAGTGTACTTGCACTAGGAAATGCCAGCCAAAAATCAAAATCTTTGTGTAAAATGAGGTAAATCCCGGCCGAGAATATGCAGGGACAGCACCATCAAGCAAATGGGGTGAAGAAGACTGGAGTACGAGTCTACAAGATTGTAATCTTGGGGGATGGTGGAGTAGGAAAGAGTGGTGAGAACTTTTTCCACTTTTCAAGAAGTCTATTCAAATTGAAATACTTTTGAAATGAGTCAGAGTTTTCATTTTGATAATTTTATTTTTTTCATTTCCATTTGGCCAGTAAAGTCTTTAGTTACAAAACTCCGACCCCAATCTGAAAATAACAAAGATGCACTTCTGGCTTTATTTTTCATAGGCGCATTCATGCACCCTCGTCTATATTATTCAATGTAGCATTCTACATGTAAGCCACTGCTACTTCGCCAATCGCAAAAATTGCTAAAATACTAGAGTACAGGGAGGCATGAATGTCACCCATGCAGGCCTGTCAACTTGTCAAAAAATTTTGAAGCAAATGCGTGCCATGCACATTTTTCTCAGAATTGCATGACATGTACAGAATTCACGTGAAAAGGCCGAACAGAATGTGTTCCCTTTTTTCGGTGTTCGTTTTTTTACCGTATTGGGGTTTTATAGAAAGGAGATTTTTAAATATCAACATAATGTGTGATTTGCGTGACATTTTATCATACACGCAAAATTGCATGATGCGTGATTTCAGTTTTTCCAACAAATGCGTGACAATCACTCCTAATGCATGAGTGTTGACAGGGCAGTCCATGTAGGCCTTCCTTTGTCTGACAATTATCTACTCTGCGTTCACCATCTCATGAATTGGACCCTCACATGCCTATATACTCCTAAATGTACCCCTGTCAACAATTATGTAATGACCACGGAACGGAATGGACGTACAAGATCGCAATTAAGTTATGATAAGTTATATTACCAGATAACTTGTTATTTATCAATGACTAAACTAAAGCATCAGCCCTCAGTTGTCCACAGTGATTCGAGTATTGACCCACAACAGGTCCTCCTGTATTATATACTAATATACATGTATCAGACTACCCATTCTCCCCTTTAAAAGCCTGAAATAGGAACGATCATTAACCTGTAACTGTTACAGCCTTCTTGTCTTTCTAATAACGTTTCATCCTCCTATTTTCCATCCTAAACTCATCTATGAAAGAACTTTAAGAAATATTCAATAATTTTCATATAGAAATGGTTTGTTGATATACCAACAGGGCTTGAGCTAAGGGCCAGTCCACTGGTCATTTACCAGGTCACTTTTGATACGGACCAGATTTTTTCAGTAGGTATAGGAGAATAACATGGCAACTGGTCCGTAATGCCATTTTGATCAGCTGGTCTCAGAACCTTAGCACAACCCCTGCACACCACATGTATATCTCAAAAATCTCCAGATTTTGGAGATCCAGGTTAAGAAACTAGAAAGGTAAGTACTGAACGAACTGTTTTTGGCAACCATGCGTGGACTGCCTTGAATGAACTGCTTGGAAAAATGGAAAAGTTGAAACATACTGACAACTAATTTTATGGATTACTCTTCTCATGCTCTGTAAGGCCAAGATTAACCTTACAGGATTACATTTAGGAGTGTACTACTATCTAGAAGGCATGTGAGGTCCCTATTTATGAAGTAACTTTTATTTTTATTTCTCAACTGATTGCTTTTCTTAATGCTTAACAGAGAGTACATGGACAGCATTGCCTCCCTGTTCTCTCTGAAGTATGAATGCAACATAGTACTAAAATCAGAACAAAATTGCCATATAATGAATGTGGCAACCCTAAAGTTACCTCAATTCAGTCGCAATATTAAGGGTAACATTTAGCGTTCTCAAAAATAGTTGCAATTTCAGTATAAGGTTTTTCCGTATATAATTATGTAGTCTGATCAGAATTGTTGTTTATTTTTTTATTCCAGGATATTGAGTTCATAGTTGTGTCAATTAGTGGAATGACATTTTCTAAGTTTCATATATAATTGCGACCAATGAATTGCAATGTACCAATTATTTCATTCAAAATCAGTAGTTTGACAAGACAGTAAAATTTTCCACCGTGCCACCTGGCTGATTCAATAGTATGCATCTTTAAACAATGTATGTATAAGTGTATAATGTATGAGTGTATAAATATGTATACCTAGATTATTTTTTGTTATTTATTCAATATATATATAAGGAGACAATATTCAGTGACCTACTGTTTGTGTTTTAAAAAAGTCCTGCATTTCACTAACTTTTATAATGTGATTCTTCATGTACTGTTTATACAAGTATCCAAGGTTCCAGAACTTAATTTGAAAATTCATGACTTCTTGTCATTGTTGTATCTTATCATTAAATGATCTTCCATGTTCAACAATAGATCAAAGAGAATCTGACCTTTAATGGTAAAATAATTATAACCAGCAGTATTACATTACCTAATATCCCTTGATTTTACATATTGGGTATGTGCCATTTTCCATACAGAGTATCAATGATTATTATTCATTGTTATAATGTTTATTTTTCTGATTCCAGCACTAACTATGCAGTTTGTGTGTCATACATTTCAAGATTACCATGATCCCACTATAGGTAAGAGTTTGCTGCATAATTCTATATGATGGAGAGTTTCATATATTGAAATACTGCTCCAAGGATGTGACATTTTTATGGGGGGTTATCTTAATTCTTCATGCACGAGGGGTGATCAATAAGTAATGGACGCTTTTTTACACAGATACTTTTTATCGACCAATCCCTTTGATTTTCCTATCAATGATACATCATTCAATTATCTATCAATTCTGAAGATTTGAAGACAAAATATATAATGCATGTTGATATATCCTTATTTCAGTGAAGGAGGTACAGATACCCCGGGACCGACATTTACGTCACATATTCAGTTTTTAGCCAGTTTGGCAAATTTCAGTTAGATTTAAACTTTTTTTATATGCAACAAGTGTTGTGTTGTTTGAAATATTTTTGAAATATCCCTGGACCTCTGGACCTCAAAATTCAGCCCTTGGCCAATGCACCATATTGTCCAGATCTGCCCATATGTGACTTATTTATTCCTATACTACTTATTTCTATAGAGAAGGGATGCAGGTTTATGGACATTGATGATATAAAACAATCAGTGCAACTGCATCTTGCTAACATGTCAGAGAATGGATTCAGCCTTGTGGCACAATCTTGAATTAAGAGGATGAGAAATTGTTTACATGTATAGCACTTGATGGAACCTATGTAGAGGGCCCTGTAGAATGAATGTGGCATGAATACCACATAGTGATGATAAAATATTTAAGATCAACTATGGTATAACAAAATGGGGTTATTCATGGCCATCATGGTTTGTTTTGTTTAGCCTGCATTCAACTGCGTTGCATGTTAAACAAGCTTAAATAGCCTCAGAATGTTTGACGTCATGTCGGTCTCGGGGTACCTATACCTCCCTCACGGTAATAAAGATATATCAAAATATATTACATGTTTTGTTTTCGAATCTTCAGAGTTGATAGATAATTGAATGAGGTATCACTGGTAAGAAAATCAAAGGTATTGGTCTATGAAAAGCATCCGTGTAAAAAAGCATCTATTACTTATTGATCACCCCTCGTAGTAATGTACATATGCATTTACAGTATTTATTCATCACCTGAAAACTCAGCTTCAAAGCAATATTTTTGAAAGTCCTATTAACATTTTCCACCCTTTTGAGATTCATGAATTATTTGTTGGGATTTGCTATCTATGTAGTTGCCATTTTCTAGTGTGGCTCAATAAAAATGTGACAAGTATAAAAATGTCAATATTTTTAAAATTTTAAGGGTTTACCCTTAAATATACTTAAATTCTTGAAAAGCAAGCTCTCTCGATTAATTTGACACCATCAGTTCCAAAATCCCTCTCAGTGGTTTAACATGTCATGCCTTTCCTGGATGGCATTCCAAGATTCTGACAAAAGCAGATTGGTTGTTTTCTGCATGTGTGGCTCTCCTTTTCACAGGTGAATGACTGTGACATAACTCTTCAAATTGGATCATAGCATTGAATAATCCTGACAAGTGGCCCCCAAAGGTCACCCGACTTAACCCCGCCCCCCCCCCCCCCCAATGTCGGATCCATGGGGGTTTTATGGCCACAGGCCCCCCTCCCCCTCCCTTTTGTGGACCTAGAAAAATATTTTAGGGCCCAAAAAATTTTGAAGGGCCTTTTGGGCATAATTTGGCCTTTTGATCCCTTCTTTAGGCCAAATTATCAGAGAATTATCATTTTCAAAGTTTAAGCCCAATTTTGGTATTAGGGGCCAAAACTTTCCGCGCAAGCGTGGAAACTTTTTTCCTGACTCAAAAGTTAACTTGTTAACTTCTGGATCGCTAGTGCCCTCCTCCCTCCTTGAATTTCCTCTTGTGAAGTCACCCAATAACAGAATAACAGAAATACAAAAGTGCTTTAATTGAAAACAATCATATTCGGTTCCAAAAATATGTTATAGGGGTTCATAGAAAAGCCAAAAACATGGCAGTAAGAGGAGAATTGGGAAGAATACCTTTGGTAGTTGATATTATAAAAAGACAAATTAAATACCTCGGTCATTTAGAGTTGAGTTCAAATGGGAGTTCACTAAACGATTCATTAATTATGAGTAAAACATTTGATTTAACAAATAACACATTTACATGGCACAAACAACTCAAAAATATACTGTACCATATTAAAATAAAAATGTCTGATGAATTAAATCTTGATGATAAGGTAAACATAGAGAAGAGCACAAATAGGCTTGCTATTAAAGTCAAAAATAAATTAAAAGAGAGATATCAAATATATTGGAAGAATATGATAAGTGAGAATGGGGGGAAACTTAGATTATTTAAACAACTAAAATTTGAACACTCCTTTCAGAAACGACACTTTCAAATGCTAAACATTTAACTAGATTACGAATAAGCGCCCACAATCTAAAGATAGAGAGAGGCCGATATACAAAACCCATTACATCTTAAAAGTTGATTTTGTAAATTATGTAAGGACTGGGTTATAGAAGATGAAACACACTTTTTATTCAAATGTAAACAATTGGAGTGTATCAGAAAATCCCATATAGAAAAACTTGAAAACATGTGTTGTAATTTTAAAAAACATGAATCACCACCAAAATACAATTTTTCCATCGACGAGTGAGGGGATCATATTAAAAGAATATGCTAACATGATGAATTATCTAATGATTGGTAGAGACAGGATTCTTATCTCAAAGTAACATTTTATATGTCATTATTATGTCACCACCAAAAGTGGTGACATATTGTTATGGTCTCCGTTTTTTTTGCGACGGCGGTTGGTGGTTGGCGTCCGGCGGTTGGCGTCCGGCGTCTGTAACAATTTCTTACAACTTCCTATAACTTAACAAATACTGTTTAGACTGACTTCAATTTTTTTCTAAATCATCTACATGTTCTCAGAAGTTCAAATCTGACTTAAGATTTTACATTTGACCTTCAATGACCTTCTCAAGGTCAAAAAGGTCTTTTTTCAACTTGCTTCACATTGACTAAATTTTTTTTCAAAATCATCTACATGTTCTCAGAAATTCAAATCTGACTTTAGATTTGACATTTGACCTTCAAATCTGACTTTAGATTTGACATTTGACCTTCAATGACCTTCTCAAGGTCAAAAAAGGTCAAAAAGGTCTGTTTTCAACTTGCTTCAAATTGACTAATTTTTTTTTCAAAATCATTTACGTGTTCTCAGAAATTCAAATCTGACTTAAGACTTGACTTAAGATTTGACATTTGACCTTCAATGACCTTCTCAAGGTCAAAAAAGGTCAAAAAGGTCAGTTTTCAACTTGCTTCAAATTGACTAAAAAAAAATTTCAAAATCATCTACGTGTTCTCAGAAATTCAAATCTGACTTTAGATTTGACTTAAGATTTGACATTTGACCTTCAATGACCTTCTCAAAGTCAAAAAAGGTCAAAAAGGTCTTTTTTCAACTTGCTTCAAATTGACTAATTTTTTTTTTCAAAATCATCTACATGTTCTCAGAAATTCAAATCTGACTTTAGATTTGACATTTGACCTTCAATGACCTTCTCAAGGTCAAAAAAGGTCAAAAAGGTCTGTTTTCAACTTGCTTCAAATTGACTAAAATTTTTTTCAAAATCATCTACGTGTTCTCAGAAATTCAAATCTGACTTAAGATTTGACTTAAGATTTGACATTTGACCTTCAATGACCTTCTCAAAGTCAAAAAAGGTCAAAAAGGTCTTTTTTCAACTTGCTTCAAATTACCTAAATTTTTTTTTCAAAATCATCTACATGTTCTCAGAAATTCAAATCTGACTTTAGATTTGACATTTGACCTTCAATGACCTTCTCAAGGTCAAAAAAGGTCAAAAAGGTCTGTTTTCAACTTGCTTCAAATTGACTAAATTTTTTTTTCAAAATCATCTACGTGTTCTCAGAAATTCAAATCTGACTTAAGATTTGACTTAAGATTTGACATTTGACCTTCAGTGACCTTCTCAAGGTCAAAAAAGGTCAAAAAGGTCTGTTTTCAACTTGCTTCAAATTGACTAAAAAAAAATTTCAAAATCATCTACGTAATCTCAGAAATTCAAATCTGACTTTAGATTTGACTTAAGATTTGACATTTGACCTTCAATGACCTTCTCAAAGTCAAAAAAGGTCAAAAAGGTCTTTTTTCAACTTGCTTCAAATTGACTAATTTTTTTTTCAAAATCATCTACATGTTCTCAGAAATTCAAATCTGACTTTAGATTTGACATTTGACCTTCAATGACCTTCTCAATGTCAAAAAAGGTCAAAAAGGTATTTTTTCATCTTGCTTCAAATTGACTAAAAATTTTTTCAAAACCATCTACATGTTCTCAGAAATTCAAATATGACTTTAGATTTGACATTTGACCTTCAATGACCTTCTCAAGGTCAAAAAAGGTCAAAAAGGTCTTTTTTCAACTTGCTTCAATTTGACTAATTTTTTTTTTCAAAACCATCTACATGTTCTCAGAAATTCAAATCTGACTTTAGATTTGACATTTGACCTTCAATGACCTTCTCAAGGTCAAAAAGGTCTGTTTTCAACTTGCTTCAAATTGACTAAAAAAAATTTCAAAATCATCTACGTGTTCTGACTTTAGATTTGACTTAAGATTTGACATTTGACCTTCAATGACCTTCTCAAAGTCAAAAAAGGTCAAAAAGGTCTTTTTTCAACTTGCTTCAAATTGACTAAATTTTTTTTTCAAAATCATCTACATGTTCTCAGAAATTCAAATCTGACTTTAGATTTGACATTTGACCTTCAATGACCTTCTCAATGTCAAAAAAGGTCAAAAAGGTATTTTTTCATCTTGCTTCAAATTGACTAAATTTTTTTTCAAAATCATCTACATGTTCTCAGAAATTCAAATATGACTTTAGATTTGACTTTAGATTTGACATTTGACCTTCAATGACCTTATCTGTTTTCAAAGCTTCAAATTGACCAAATTTTTTTTTCAAAATCATCTACATCTTTTCAGAAGTTCAAATTTGACTTTACAAGTTCTCAGAAATTCAAATCTGACTTAAGTTTGAACTCATAATATTGTGAGCAACTAGGTGGTGACATTTTGTCATGTTAATGCCTTGTTTGAAGAATGTAATCCTATTTTCTTCACCTTATTGCTATATTTACTCAGACCCTAAGATTCGGAATATTTGATACAAGTCCTTTAGACTTGTAAGTCAGAACTTTACAAGTCCATCCAAAAAAATACAAGCCAAAAAGGACTTTTAAATCTGAACGTTACAAGTCCAATAAATCACTTACCGTATTCTTTAGGGGCGCTTAGAAAAATCAGAATAATAGAGTTGTCCTAAAGAAAATGCCCCCCCCCCAACTGAGCTCTATATGTACTTGGTCCTGAAGACCCCCTCCCCCACCAACCATCTGTGTTTTTAATGTGCCCATATATGAAAGAAGAAAAACAGGAATTTCATGAGGCTAGTAAAGTTTTCTTGCCAAAAATCAGAAACATTAGAACGGGGTATGAGCATATCTCTGCAATAATGGCATGGATTGTTATTGGAGAGTTTACCGTACAGATCGCTAAATGAACCAAGAATCAATTGCAAAATTCCCAATAGAGCCCTGCGAATTGAATGAAGAGTTTTCCCCGATTATCTTTATCATTTCCGCAAAAGATCGTCAGATATTTTTATTCATATTACCGCGGATCGGGGAAACCATGACCAATATTGACGTATATAGTCAATCAAGGTAAGCTCATGGGTCGTTTTGAAATACGCCAGGGGGACTTGTATTTTGTGACGAAGCACGCCAGCCACTAAAACTAGGCGCCGCTGGCGTCCTGGCGTGTGGGAATCTTAGGGTCTGATTTACTGTTATTGAAACTTGTATATCGTATGTACATTTGGCCCTAAAAGGGCATCAGTACTAATAAAATCCTATTAGTAAAAAAAAAATAACCAAGGTTTCCACAACTCTCTGAACAAGGTTATCTGAATGAACGTTATCGAAGAATGTTTGAGTGTGGTATGACTAGAAAGGAAGCTCATCACACATGCTTGTACCGAAATGTTGAGTGGCCAATTTATGAAAGAGATAGGAAAATTGCAGAAATGATTCAGTAAAATCTTTACTGTGAATAAGATTAGATGTTAAAAGAATGCTTCCTCTTTGTCCTTTGTTCTTTTTATTAACTATACTGAGAAGTTGGTACAAGTAAGATTTCACATGAGTCAATAGAATCTGACCTGTGTCGTCAACCATAGAAGGATTTTAAATCTGCTGGTGTTAAATTAATCTGGAGAATTTGCTCTTTAAGAATGCAATTTGTTTTTAGGGTGAATGCCAAAATTCTAAAAGATATTAACTATTTTGAACTTGTAACATTTTTATTGAGACACTCATTATATTAGTTCATGTGAAGTCATTTCTTTTTATAATAAATGAAAAATGTTTACATTCTTTTGTAAAGATTTTTGTAAAGATGCATTCATGTGATATTTTATATATTCATTTTATATGTTCAATACAGGAAAACTGTGTAACTGGAACACCTTTTCTACCTCAAATTGTTTTTCTACTATGAACATGTTCCACCTACAGAGGTTTATTTTATATAAACTCAAATGGGTAGTAAGGTTTTAAAAAGTAAAGCAGTTTATTTTACACTAACAAAGTGTCACTACCCAGATTTAAAAAAGTATTCCATGTGTGGATGTGTACCATTTACAGAGATGTTTCACTTCACAGGTGTTTCTGTACCTATAAATTCTACTAATGTTTTTGGTATTTATTTAGATCCTTCAGGTCAATGGAATATTCTGTAAACGCATATCAACTTATAAGACTTTGATCTATTCTAATTTTAAGTAAGCAAGCTTCCACAAAGATGGATTTTAATGCCCATGATGCAACTGACACTGACAGGGGAAAATGCTTGTTAATATTTCAAATGTTTCTACCTACTGCAATTGCTAATATGGAACCAGCTATGGGTAGAATTTTTGATAGTTTGAGCCAAACATACACCCAGGATATAAATAAATCCTTGGTTGTTGTATCATTGACACTCACCATTGGGAACTTTCTTCGGGCATACTTAACAGCAGGCCAGGCAAGCCAAGGATTTATTATACTGGTTAACTCTAAGGTGGACTTAAAGAAAGGAATAATCTTTGTGATTTGCAATAGCTCCATCATAGCAGGGATTTTTCTTGTCATTGGTCTTACACCAGTGGGATATGTCATTCAAGTGCTATTTCGTATTACTAATGAAGAACTTGAAGAAATACAATTTGGCATAGCATCACTCTGTTTGATGTCCGTGATCCTAAATACTGGGTCTGCAATCCATGGATTATTATTGAAGAAAAAACACACCTCTTTTTGTCTCCTTGCTGAGTTTTTGAGGTTTATCTCCAAATTTGGGAGTATTTTCTCTCTCATGGCTACACCCTTAATAACTAGAAGACCAATCTTGATACCAATAATATCAGCATATGTATCAGCTCTGGTTTATCTTATCTTCAGCTTTATAGGATATAAAATATACTTGATCAATGAGCTACCTGTTGAAAGTACAAAAACACTGACATACCATCAAATGGTTAAATTAACACTACCTCTAGGATTCCAGCAGCTCATTGAAAAATCTGAATCTTTTATCCTTAGTTTAGTTGTTGCACAACTAACACCATCTGAATCTACACGAAGTATGGCACTTGCAAACGTTCATGTACTCCATGCATCATTTTACCCTTTGCGAAGGATATTAGTCAGTATTGCAACAATGGTATCTGCATACCTTGCATCTGGGAGTAACTCATCGTTACATTTCGACCATGAACTAGTTATCTGCACCTCCATTATTGCATTTGTTTCATTTATGATTTCTATTTCAATGTGCTGGATTACTCCCATTACAAGGGTTATATTTCTATATTTATTTCACATTTCTGTAGATAATTTCAATGAAGTATACTATCCGGTTAAGTTGTACACATTTTGGCCGATTATACAAACATTTGCCTTGTTTTCGTTTGGAATTTTACTGCATAAGAAAGACACTAAAATGTCAATAGTGAGCTCCGCTTGCCAAGTCATTATATTGGGTTTTCTACCATTTGCTTTAGATCATCTTGGATTTGATATCTTACTGTCTTCAGTTGTGGCCTTGTTTACTGCTCAGACCACTACTGCTTGCATTCTTTTCTCATACCTTTATTTGAAGTATTTAAGAAAATCTTAGTTGCGTCAAAAGCAAGTATGAAATTAGGTAGTTAATGACGATTATATATGGTGATTGCCTTATACAATACAAATATTATATATATATTACCTGTAGTAGTACCATTATATATTATATATTACCTGTATTATACATTTTATATATTACCTGTATTAGTACCACATGTAATGCAAAAAAAGTTTGAAAGTAATTAGGACATGATTTTATTTTGTTTGCCAAGTATATTGTTGAATAATATCTCTTTGGGAACATATTTTCTAGTCTTCACTTTTTTATGGATGGTGTTTGGTGGTTGGTATTTGGCAGATGTTGTTTGTTGGCCAGTGTCTGTAACAAATGGCAGGTCAAGTGACATTTTACTTAAAAAGTTGCTACAAACATTTTAACACACTTGACTCTCTATCCCTTCTTATTCCAAAACTACATACAACATACATAACAAACTTTTCCTTTTCACAGGTGAATGACTGTGACAGAACTCTGCAAATTGCATCATAGCATTGAATAATCCTGACGAGTGGCCCCCAAAGGTCACCTAAATTACCCCCCACCCTCCCCCCAATGTTGGATCCATGGAGGTTTTATGGCCGCAGGCCCCCTTTCCCTCCCTTTTGTGGGCCTAGAAAAATATTTTAGGGCCTAAAAATTTTGTAGGGCCTTTTTGGGCATAATTTGGCCTTTTTATCCCTTCTTTAGGCCAAATTATCAGAAAATTATCATTTTCAAAGTTTAGGCACAATTTTGGTATTAGGGGCCCAAAATTTCCACGCAAGTGTAGAAACTTTTTCCTGGCTCAAAAGTTAGCCCCCCCTTGTTAACTTCTGGATCCGCCAGTGCCCTCCTCCCTCCCTGAATTTCCTCTTGTGCTGTCACCCAATAACTAAGGTTTTCACAACACTCTGAACTAACTGATCTGAATGAACCTCATCAAAGAATATTTGAGTGTAATATGACTAGAAAGGAAGCTCATCACACATGCTTGTACCGAAATGTTGAGTGGCCATTTTATGAAAGAGATAGGAAAATTGCAGAAATGATTCAGTAAAATGTTTAACTGTGAATAAGATTAGATGTTAAAGGAATGCTTCCTCTTTGTCCTTTGTTCTTTTTAACTATACTGAGAAGTTTGCCCAAGTCAGATTTCACATGAGTCAATAAAATCTGTCCTGTGTCATCAACCATAGAAGGATTTTAAATCTGCTGGTGTTAAGTTAATCTTGATAATTTTCTCTTTAAGAATGCAATTTGTTTTTAGGGTGAATGCCAAAATTCTAAAAGATATTGACTATTTTGCACTTGTAACATTTTTATTGAGACACTCATTGGTTCATGTGAAGTCATTTCTTTTTATAATAAATGAAAAATGTTTAGATTATTTTGTAAAGATTTTTGTAAAGATGCATTCATGTGATATTTTATATTCATTTTATATGTTCAATACAGGAAAACTGTGTAAGTGGAACACCTTTTCTACCTCAATTTGTTTTTCCACTATAAACTTGTTCTACCTACAGAGGTTTATTTTATATTAACTTAAATGGATAATAAGATTTTTAAAAGTAAAGCAGTTTATTTTTCATTAACAAAGTGTCATTACCCAGATTTTAAAAAGTATTCCATGTGTGGATGTGTACCATTTACAGAGATGTTTCACTTCACAGGTGTTTCTGTACTCATAAATTCTACTTATGTTTTTTGTATTCATTCAGATACTTCAGGTCAATGTCATATACTGTAAAAGTATTTTAAGCTTTTTATTAAGATTTCGATCTATTCTAATTTTAAGTAAGCAAGATTCCACAAAGATGGATTTTAATGCCCAGGATGCGACTGAAACTGACTGGGGAAAATGCTTGTTTATATTTCAAATGTTTCTACCTACTGCAATTGCTAATATGGAACCAGCTATGGCTAGAATTGTTGATAGTTTGAGCCAAACATACACCAAGGATATAAATGAATCCTTGGTTGTTGTATCATTGACAATCAACATTGCGAACATTCTTCGGGCATACTTATCACAAAGTCAGGCAAGCCAAGGATTTATTATACTGGTCAACTCAAAAATGGACTTAAAGAAAGGACTGATCTTTGTGATTTGCAGTAGCACCATCACAGCAGGGATTTTTCTTGTCATTGGTCTTACACCAGTGGGATACACCATCCAAGTGCTATTTCGTATTACTAATCAGGAACTTCAAGAAATTCAATTTGGCATAGCATCACTCTGTTTGATGTCCGTGATCCTAAATACTGGGTCTGCAATCCATGGATTATTATTGAAGAAAAAACACACCTCTTTTTGTCTCCTTGCTGAGTTTTTGAGGTTTATCTCCAAATTTGGGAGTATTTTCTCTCTCATGGCCACACCCTTAATAACTAGAAGACCAATCTTGATACCAATAATATCAGCATATGTATCAGCTCTGGTTTATCTTATCTTCAGCTTTATAGGATATAAAATATACTTGATCAATGAGCTACCTGTTGAAAGTACAAAAACACTGACATACCATCAAATGGTTAAATTAACACTTCCTCTAGGATTCCAACAGCTCATTGAAAAATGTGAAACTTTTATCCTCAGTTTAGTTATTGCACAACTAACACCATCTGAATCTACACGAAGTATGGCACTGGCAAACGTTCATGTCCTCCATGCATCATTTTATTCATTGCGAAGGATATTAGTCAGTATTGCAACAATGGTATCTGCATACCTTGCATCTGGGATGAACTCATCGTTACATTTTGACCATGAACTAGTTATCTGCACCTCCATTATTGCATTTGTTTCATTTATTATTTCTATTTCAATATGCTGGATTACTCCCATTACAAGGGTTATATTTTTATATTTATTTCACATTTCTGTAGATAATTTTATCGCAGTAAACTATCCCTTTAAGTTATACACATTCTGGCCAATTATACAAACATTTGCTATGTTTTCCTTCGGAATTTTACTGCATAAGAAAGACACTAAAATGTCAATAGTGAGTTCCGCTTGCCAAGTCATTACATTGGGTTTTCTACCATTTGCTTTGGATTATCTTGGATTTGATATCTTACTGTCTTCAGTTGTGGCCTTGTTTACTGCTCAGACCACTACTGCTTGCATACTTTTCTCATACCTTTATTTGAAGTATTTAAGAAAATCTTACTTGCATCAAAAAGCAAGTATGAAATTAGGTAGTTAATGACGATTATATATGGTGATTTCCTTATATGTACCTGTATTAGAACCACATGTAATACAAATAAAGTTTGAAAGTAATTAGGATATGATTTTGTTTTGGTTGCCACTTTATTTGGTGAATAATATCTCTTTGGTAACATATTTTTTTAGTCTTCACTTTTTTATGGATTGTGTTTGGTGGTTGGTATTTGGCACATGTTGTTTGGTGGCCAGTGTCTGTAACAAATGGCAGGACCAGGTGACATTTTACATATTTATGCCTCGTTTTAAAAAGTTGCTGCAAACATTTTAACACACTTGGCTCTCTATCCCTTCTTATTCCAAAACTACATCCATAACATACATAACAAACTACATCCAGGAATGAGTGAGCAACGACTCATCCTCTGAACACAGACCTCCAGAACTCGTACCTCCTTTTTCCAACAACTGGACATGTGGCATAATCTGGCCAATCACAATCTGTCATTTGAGTTTAAAATGGCATAAGTCTTTGATTCATGTTGCACTATTTGAGCCTTTGTTTCTCAAATTTACTTTTCATTTTCATGTCACCACCAGAAGTGTTAATATATGTTTTATATATATGTCTCCAACATTTTTTTGTGGACGATGTTTGGCAATTGGGGTTTGGCGTTTGTAGCAAATGGAAAGACTGGAAACATTTGGCATGTGGATTTGCCTTGTTGCTCTTACAAAAGCTCAGAGGCAAGACATCTACATTATTTACTATTCAAATTAGCATTGTGTCTCTTGCAGAGGATGCCTATGAGAAGCAAGCTGTTATAGATGGTGATGTGGCAAAGCTTGACATTCTGGATACTGCTGGACAGGTTAGTGTCCTTATTATATGTTTGGTTAGTGTCCCTGTTAAATGTTTGGTTAATGTCCCTGTCAAATGTTTGGTTAATGTCCCTATGAAATGTTTGGTTAATGTCCCTGTTAAATGTTTGGTTAATGTCCCTATGAAATGTTTGGTTAATGTCCCTGTTAAATGTTTGGTTAATGTCCCTGTCAAATGTTTGGTTAATGTCCCTATGAAATGTTTGGTTAATGTCCCTGTTAAATGTTTGGTTAATGTCCCTGTTAAATGTTTGGTTAATGTCCCTATGAAATGTTTGGTTAATGTCCCTATAAAATGTTTGGTTAATGTCCCTGTCAAATGTTTGGTTAATGTCCCTATGAAATGTTTGGTTAATGTCCCTATGAAATGTTTGGTTAGTGTCCCTATTATATGTTCGGTTAGTGTCCCAATTATATGTTTGGTTAGTGTCCCTATGAATTGTTTGGTTAATGTCCCTGTCAAATGTTTGGTTAATGTCCCTATGAAATGTTTGGTTAATGTCCCTATCAAATGTTTGGTTAATGTCCCTATCAAAACAATACATGAGACAAGGAGGAGAGGGCTTCCTTATATGTCATCATATTGTGAATAGTATGTTTTCTTTTCCAGCCAGAGTTTACTGCTGTGAGAGAACAATTCACGAGACAAGGAGAGGGCTTCCTTATATGTTATCAAATTGTTATCCCAACGAACGAAGTTCGGTAGGGATATAGTGAAGCCCTCTGTCCGTCCGTCAGTCCGTCAGTCTGTCAGTCCGTCAGTCAGTCAGTCCGTCCGTCCGTCCGGAAGATAACTCAAATATTGGTTGATGGATTTTCTTCATATTTGGTGGAAAGATGTATATTGATGAATAGTTTTACTCAAAAAAAAATTTTCCAAGATGGCCGCCGCTTTAAAAATGACGGGACTTTTTCGCAAAAATCATAAATTTTTCATTCTAAACCAAAGTAATTAATATTATTGTTTGAAATTTTGGTAGTATTTTCGCAACATAATATATTTCACATATATTCCGTGTTTTTCATCCTGACCCCAGGGGCCGTGTATGGGGGGGTCAGGAAAACAGAAATTTTCACTAATTTTTAGATATTTCTGAAGTATAGCTTTATTATACTCAAATGAAAGGCAATTAAGAGTAGATTGCAAATATTGTATCTTTTTTCTGATTCGAGCCTCTTAAAATTCAAATGGCTGTCTAATGTACGATTTCGCAATAATTATTCGATCCCTTCAACGTATGGCTATGTAATACTCAAATTGAAGGAATTTTGGAGTAGATCACAATTATGGTATTATTTTTCCAATTTGTACCTCAGAAAATTCAAAATGGCTGCTTTGCAGGAATTCGCAATTCTAAAATCTAAATTTTTCAATTTTAACCAAAGTAATGAGTATAATTGATTTGAATTCGGAATTGATATTTTGTTCGTTGGGATTTGCTACTCCGCGGAGTTGCCATTATCTAGTGTATATTATGTTTTCCCTTCCAGCCAGAGTTTACTGCTATGAGAGAACAATACATGAGACAAGGAGAGGGCTTCCTTATATGTTATTCAATCACAGATAGACGCAGCTTTGATGTTGCAATGGAATATAAAAAACTAATCGATCGTGTAAGAAAAAGAGATGATATTCCTATTATATTAGTTGGCAATAAATATGATTTGGAGAAACAACGCAAGGTAAGATGAATTTTTTGTTTATTCGAGCAGAATTATTGACTTATTTTCCATCATGCATATCATTGACTAATCACTAACTATATAACTAATCATTTGAAAAAGATGAGTGCACATGTACATAAATGTCCATCAATTCACTTTATTGCATGATAGGACCCTGATTGATCGATTTATATAGTTCAATATGAAAAATAGAATTGTTTGAGTCTTTGATTTGAACTTGAATTTTTTATTTATTTATTTGTCATATTTTAGAAATAACGTTTACAACCACTCTATGCAAGAGGAAATCTGATTCAAAGTGGCTGCTTGAATCTAAATGCTTATTTTCATTGGAAGATGACATTTTGGCGACGAGGGTTGACTTGATTTTGTGGTGTTTGCTCTCCATAGAGATGATGTTTTTTAGTTAATAATTCCATAATTTGATTTATCTCCAGGTTACTACAGAGGAAGGGAAATCCCTAGCTAGACAATTCAGCTGCCCTTTTTTCGAGACCTCCGCAGCCCATCGCCATTTCGTAGACGATTCCTTCCACACTTTGATTCGTGTTATACGCCAGAAGGAGAACCTAACCTCAGATGAAATGCTTAAAAACAATACAAAGAAACAATCGAGTAAAATTCATACATTTATCAATAAGGTGTTTAAACCGAGGTCCTGAGATCAAGATGATTTTAGTGGTGAGGTGAATATCAATGTCCTTTAAAAGAAATAATTCATTTCACTATTTATTGACCCCTTTATTTACAAGGCAACCTGAAGTTCCATTTCATACCCACATTTTATTAATCTTATAAACCAATGATGTCCCTTAGTGAATCATTATCCTCTTCCCCCATGAATTAATTACAATGATGGACATTGATATAACCATCCGACCATGTGCATTATTGATATATTTATTTACAGTATATTTTTTATACTGCACTGTTTATCCAATTTTGTATGGTAAAGACCATTTTTGGTTTGCCAGTCACAGTCCAATTGCATTGTTTACTTTTTATCACACCATCGGTGGGATATAGTCGTCATACTGGTCGTGATTGTGGTCGTGATCGTGGTCGTGATCGTGATCGTCCCATTTTTTGTCATCGCCGTTTAAGGAAAACTGCTCATCAGATTTTCTCCAAATTCGCAGAGATGATAGAGCATATGAAGTACTAGAGCTGATTAACTTTTGGGTGGCCATCTTGTTTTCTGGTGGCCATTTTGAAGGTTTTTCGAAAAATCTTGTCATCGCCATTTCAGAAAATCCGCTCATCGGATTTCCTTCAAATTTACACACATGATAGAGGGTATCAAGTACTAGAGCTGATTAACTTTTGGGCGGCCATCTTGTTTTCTGGTGGCCATTTTGAAGGTTTTTCGAAAAATCTTGTCATCGCCATTTCAGGAAAATCGCTCATCGGATTTCCTTCAAATTTACACAAATGATAGAGGATATCAAGTACTAGAGCTGATTAACTTTTGGTCGGCCATCTTGTTTTCTGGCAGCCATTTTGAAGATTTTTCGAAAAATCTTGTCATCCCCATTTCAGAAAATCCGCTCATCGGATTCCTTCAAATTTACACACATGATAGAGGATATCAAGTACTAGAGCTGATTAACTTTTGGGCGGCCATCTTGTTTTCTGGTGGCCATTTTGAAGGTTTTTCGAAAAATCTTGTCATCAGCCATTTCAGGAAAACCGCTCATCGGATTTCCTTCAAATTTACACAAATGATAGAGGATATCAACTACTAGAGCTGATTAACTTTTGGGCGGCCATCTTGTTTTCTTGTTCTTGAAATTTGTAAACATAATAGGAGAACAGTTTTCCTGGTTCATAGTGTCTGCCTATTTGATGGTGTGATCTCGTTCACGTCCTGTGCCTTGTTTCCATTTTGCGTTCCTTTAGTTCACAACATCTCATTTGACATTGAGCCAGTAGGAGTATTGCATTTTCCTGGGTGATGTATATGAAATCATGACCTATGGCAGATAGTGACAAAAATAACAACATCATATTCCTATTCATCATTATAACCACCTTTCCGGGCCTTTTCTAGGGGTATTAGTGCTAGTTAAGAAGGCTTTTATTTTACTATATTGACCTGAGCAATATGTGACATCATTTTGGTGGGCCAATATTGTATTAACAGCCTGGCAATGTTCCCCGGAAAATTAGATATCGTTAAGTGTTTATAATTTTCATTCAATGGTAGTCCTTTCTTACTTTTTCAGCCCCGGGCATAAATGGTGGTAATAATACTAATAACGTCATTTCTGCGATCAAAATAGTGAAGTATTGGACCATCAGCCCTTGGCCCAATATTTCACTATATTGCCTTTTGAAATCACGATATTCTACACATGTTCTACCGCTTCAACAGCTTCCGTGATTAATAACCATTTATTTGGGCAATTGCTAAAATGTGAGTTGATTGCAAAGTTCCATCTTCAAGTAAGACATGTGCTTTTGTACAAATACAAAAAAAGAACGAACAATTCATTGCCTCTTGGGCTGGGACTGGTGAATTGAAAATGTTTAAATTGTTCTTCATGTTACAGTTGTGTATTTTAGTTACACATTGGAAAATGCACATTGAACTATATTGATGATTAAAAGAATGTGCCATTAATTAAATATGGAGGAATTTATACATAATTTATGGCATTAAACATCCATTTTAAAGCCCTTTGATGTGAGAGCCATCTATAACAATAATCAAAGATCCTTCAAATGGCTCAAAATGCTGAAACCTCCCACAATACAATACTACTTTACTCATCATACTCTTGATAACGATATATTTAGTCCATAAAAAATGAGTTTTGCATGTTAAATACTGCAACTGTTAACAGAAAAATCGTGTAATTTTAATTTATACAACATTTTTCTATGCTAATTAATTGATAAATGTTATTGTAAATTATCTACTTAAACTGTATTTATAATGTGATGCACCAAACAGTTTGTAAATTTATATAGTGTATAAGACTTACATTTTAAACTGAAGAAGTATGCACATGTAGAATGCAGAGCAGCATGGAATACTGTAGTTGTAATTAGAATGTTGCTCACCATATTCCAAGTAAGAAGTATGATGATTTTATCTTATTTATTCGGGGGAGTTAGACTGGAGAATATATTGCTTTGTGCCATTCAAATAATAAATATACAGTATATCTAAAATTGTTTAAAAGGGAATTTTAGGTGTAAGGAACTTGCACCCAACCTCCTCAGCTATCTTTTTGAAGAATGAGTTGAAATGGACTCGATTCCTATGCATACTTGACCCCCAGGGAGTTGAGAAGAATGTGTATTGATTTTACTGCACATTTGTGCAATATACCTCTATTTTTAACAAAATTGAATAAAAGTGTTATTTTTCTTTTTGGATACTCATACTCCAACTGTGTTCAGGCCCTTCTGGATACTTTGAAAATATAAGTTTTGGCTCATTCTGAATGTTTTTGATTGTCTTTGGTTATGCATGTACGAGTAGTTCATCTCTTGTCGTGCAAATTTCATGTATGCTATGAAAGGGTCTATTTTATAGGATTTCCAAGATATACTTGGTCAACATAAGGGACAAGACCACCATCCTCCCACATTTTTAACTTAAATATGAAAAGTCAACCAGAAAAGGTACAAATTGTTTTGTTTGATCAGAAATATAGTTATACATTGTATATTTTTAATGTATAGGCTAATTTTTAATTGACAGGGCCCTTTAAGTTTGTGTTCATTACACTTTTTTCTATGCCCTTTAATGTTTTTTACATCTCACGGCAAACAAATGTCTTTGTATAAGTATAGCCTACTGTAAATTTTTGATGATTTCCTTGAATATACTCTGTGGGCAATTACATTTTAAATTGAATATGGAGTATATGTTTAGGGATGGTGTAGAATACAATTGTAGAATGAAGTTTTTTCATTGGGATTGTGATTTCATTTAGAATGTTGATTTTTGAATAATTCAAGCCATTCAAGTGAAAAGCAAATCAATATTTTAAATTTATTACACAATTGTCCACAATGTTAATAATTGGATACGATCCCACATTAGTTCATAACTTCATATGATAGATGGTCACATTTCTGCTGATATGATACATGTGAATAATTTTATGCTGTTTTGATATGGTATGAAACAGGATGTTAGGACAGTAGTATGCTTTCTGTAAGTTTAGGGATTATTCGTCTTGTTCCACATTCAAAATGTTATATATACATTAGGTTATATCACAGTGATGTATAGTAAACATGAGTGTTGGTACGAACATGTGTGCATGTTCATGGTGCGAGTGTGGGACAATAATGAATATGGGGCAGATGAGACAATGAACTGTATAAGGCCCAATATTTATTTATATTATATTATTGGTGTGTACCTGTACTCGTGTTTGCTATACATCACATGTCTGTACCCACACTCATGTTTGCTATCCATCACATGTCAGTATCTACACTCATGTTTACTATACTTCACTGTATACATACACGATGTTGATTGAGAGATTTGCAGTTGCTCCAAGAGTAAAAATTGAGCTGTAATCATAATTTGTAGGAAATATACAAAAAAAAAAAAAAAAAAATTGGTAGAATTTGTGTTTTATTTCATCAAAAATTTTACTCAATTTAGTAAATATACATATTATTATTAGTAAAGTAACTACAACAAATTTAAATGATTAAACTATATTTTCAAACTTAGCATGGGACCCTTAACCAGTTAACAGACTACATCTACAATTTCTTACAATTTAAAGTGTTGAGTAAAAGAAAAATGTGACATTCATAGCATGTACATTAAATAGGAAGACCTATGTTACAAATATTGTATGTATGTGTTCTCATCTTAATATGGTTAATAAAATTACATAACATACACATTTACAACATTATCCCTGACATAATCTTTTGAATAATCCAATGATAGCTATGCAAAAATCACATGTTTGAGATCAAGAAAATTTCCATGTTAGAAAATACAAAAGAAAGTACTGTATGTGTACAATCAACTTGTGACTTGCCATAAATCACCAAGTACATTACAATTGATGAATTTATTTCAAAGTGACAATTTCTTGGAGATCACTAGAGGCTGGTGACATTGCTATAAATGCCAATTCATGTAAAGAATCCATTCTCTTGGCATCGAACCTTCGGTTTATAACTTTATTTCTATTAAATATATTACTCTGGAGTTGTTATATCAACTATATATGGAATGCCAAAATTTTAAAAACCTAATGTAACATTTTTATAGAGACACTTTATATTACTGTAAGTCATTTCTTTTTATAAAAAATCCTATTCAAAGGTTATTGGTCGTTCTGTCTAGATTCTTGTGTAAAAATGCATTCATGTGATATTTTATATTCACTTTAAATTATGTTCAATACAGGAAAACTATGTAAGTGGAACACCTTTTCTACCTCAAACTTTTTTCCACTATGAACATGTTCCACCTTCAGGGGTCTACTTTATATTAACTTAATGGGTAGTAAGATTTGAAAAAGTAAAGCAGTTTATTTTACATTAACAAAGTGTCACTAACCAGATTTTAAAAAGTATTCCATGCGTGGATGTGTACCATTTACAGAGATGTTTCACTTCACAGGTGTTTCTGTACTTATAAATTCTACTCATGTTTTTTGTATTCATTCAGATGCTTCAGGTCAATGTCATATACTGTAAAAGTATTTTAAACTTTTGAAGATTTTGATCTATTCTAATTTTAAGTAAGCAAGATTCCACAAAGATGGATTTTAATGCCCATGATGTTACCGACACTGACTGGGGAAAATGCTTGTTTATATTTCAAATGTTTCTACCTACTGCAATTGCTAATATGGAACCAGCTATGGCTAGAATTGTTGATAGTTTGAGCCAAACATACACTCAGGATATAAATAAATCCTTGGTTGTTGTATCATTGACACTCACCATTGGGAACTTTCTTCGGGCATACTTAACAGCAGGCCAGGCAAGCCAAGGATTTATTATACTGGCTAACTCAAAGCTGAACTTAAAGAAAGGAATAATCTTTGTGATTTGCAATAGCTCCATAATAGCAGGGATTTTCCTTGTCATTGGTCTTACACCAGTGGGATACGTCATTCAAGTGCTATTTCGTATTACTAATCAGGAACTTCAAGAAATTCAATTTGGCATAGCATCACTCTGTTTGATGTCCGTGATCCTAAATACTGGGTCTGCAATCCATGGATTATTATTGAAGAAAAAACACACCTCTTTTTGTCTCCTTGCTGAGTTTTTGAGGTTTATCTCCAAATTTGGGAGTATTTTCTCTCTCATGGCTACACCCTTAATAACTAGAAGACCAATCTTGATACCAATAATATCAGCATATGTATCAGCTCTGGTTTATCTTATCTTCAGCTTTATAGGATATAAAATATACTTGATCAATGAGCTACCTGTTGAAAGTACAAAAACACTGACATACCATCAAATGGTTAAATTAACACTTCCTCTAGGATTCCAACAGCTCATTGAAAAATGTGAAACTTTTATCCTTAGTTTAGTTGTTGCACAACTAACACCATCTGAATCTACACGAAGTATGGCACTGGCAAACGTTCATGTCCTCCATGCATCATTTTATTCATTGCGAAGGATATTAGTCAGTATTGCAACAATGGTATCTGCATACCTTGCATCTGGGATGAACTCATCGTTACATTTCGACCATGAACTAGTTATCTGCACCTCCATTATAACATTTGTTTCATTTATCATTTCTTTTTCAATGTGCTGGATTACTCCCATTACAAGGGTTATATTTTTATATTTATTTCACATTTCTGAAGATAATTTTATCGCAGTAAACTATCCCTTTAAGTTATACACATTCTGGCCAATTATACAAACATTTGCTATGTTTTCCTTTGGAATTTTACTGCATAAGAAAGACACTAAAATGTCAATAGTGAGTTCCGCTTGCCAAGTCATTATATTGGGTTTTCTTCCATTTGCTTTAGATTATCTTGGATTTGATATCTTACTGTCTTCAGTTGTGGCCTTGTTTACTGCTCAGACCACTACTGCTTGCATTCTTTTCTCATACCTTTATTTGAAGTATTTAAGAAAATCTTACTTGCATCAAAAGCAAGTATGAAATTAGGTACAATGTAGTTAACGATGATTATATATGGCAATTGCCTGATATGTACCTGTATTAGTACCACATGTAATGCAAATAAAGTTTTAAAGTAATTAGGACATGATTTTGTTTTGTTTGCCACTATATTTGGTGAATAATATCTCTTTGGTAACATATTTTTTTAGTCTTCACTTTTTTATGGAAGGTGTTTGGTGGTTGCTATTTGGCAAATGTTGTTTGGTGGCCAGTGTCTGTAACAAATGGCAGGTCAGGTGACATTTTACATATTTATGCCTCGTTTTAAAAAGTTGCTGCAAACATTTTAACACACTTGGCTCTCTATCCCTTCTTATTCCAAAACTACATCCATAACATACATAACAAACTACATCCAGGAATGAGTGAGCAACGACTCATCCTCTGAACACAGACCTCCAGAACTCGTTCCTCCTTTTTCCAACAATTTGACATGTGACATAATCTGGCCAATCACAATCTATTATTTCAGTTTAAAAGGGGATAACTTTTTTGATTCACGCTGCACTATTTGAGCATTTATTTCTCAAATTTACATTCCATTTTGATGTCACTACCAGAAGTGTTGATACATTGTTATAGTCTCCAAGTTTTTTGTGGATGTTTGGCAATTGGGGTTTGGCGTTTGTAACAAATGGAAAGACTGGAAACATTTGGCATGTGAATGCCGTGTTGCTCTTACAAAAGCTCAGAGGCAAGACATCTATATTATTTACTATTCAAATTTGCATTGTGTCTCTTGCAGAGGATGCCTATGAGAAGCAAGCTGTTATAGATGGCGATGTGGCAAAGCTTGACATTCTGGATACTGCTGGACAGGTTAG